GGCGATAGAGTTAGTTGCTGTGTTTGGGTGATTCGGAAAGGTTCCGGAAGGATCTTCGAAAATTTGATCCTTCCAAGGTTCAAGTTGGATGATATTACCCGTGGACGGGCGGCATGTCGGGATCGATGTGCCGTAGAATACGAGAGGATCCTGTCGATCTATCGGTAATTGTTGCCACTGATTATCCAATCCCCGAAGTTATCCCGGCGAACCTTCATGTCTTACTAGTAGTACGCAAAATACTAACTAGTGCCAGATACGACTACTAGTAGTTAACGATGCGCTGTGTCTGTGTCCTACAACTAGTAGTAGTCCTCCGACTCTGTCATGTGTGATAGCGTTGTAAACTCTGTACATTAAATTAAATCCTAATCGTACATATCATAGCAACAACGAGGCAAAAATAAAAAGAGAGAGTAAAGAGTAAAAAAAGGCAATAGCCAGCATCAATAATTTCCCGCGGTGGGATGTAGTCGTGACTCGTAGGACTTGAATAAACTGGGGATATTCGAGGTAAAGTCCGAAGTTGAGTGAGTGGGTAGCTGGTAAGTTGGGAAGAATTGAATCCAGGAAAACAAAGACAGAAACAGAAAGATAGAGGATTTGTAAAAGCAGACAAGCGAAAAGTGAATAGATAAATCAAGTCAAGTCATGAAGCGTTGCCGAACCATTTCTTTGCCATTGGCAGGTATGGAAGGATTGAAAGAAGGAAGATAAGATGAGGGATCGAAGAATGGAAAGAAGGGAAAGAAAAGGTGTTTATTAAATGTACAGGAAACCAGAAGTGCAGTTGAGATCAGATCAGATCAGATCGGTTCGGTTCAGTCGTGGGCCGCGTGGACGGTAATTGAAGTTGAAATTGGTAATGTAAAGGGCCGGTTTCATGAGTGCGTGTCATATCGCGTCACGCTGGGTGATGAGTGGGACGGATGTCCAAATCAGTAAGCAGAATTCTCAAGAAATATTTGAAGAAGGAAACCCGTGTGTTGGCGAGGCGAGTAGCTCAGCTGGAAATGACTGAAATAATAAGACAAAGAGGGGTAACTCGGAAGTCGAAGTTGAAGTCGAGAATATATGAATGATAGAAAAACATTCATAGAATGAGCTCCGTAAAACAGAGCTAATGTAGACTGATGCAGACGTGCATTCATATCTGAGTCGTAGCCATAATCGAGGAAAAGGTGTCGCATTGCAGCGCAAAGCAAACAAATCAGAGCAGAGCAACCATTGAAAGGCAGACAGGCGTGAGGTCAGTAAAATCAGACCGAACGGGTCAAAGAAAAGCGTTGCATGCTGAACGAAGTAAATGTAAAAGCCGAACTGTATATGTCGTTGTTGTTTTGGCGTTAGCGCATGAACATGAACCAATTGGGTTCAGACAAAGACGGAAGCGCAGACGAAGACGAAGATCAAGCGAAGCGGTCTAGTTCATGAGTCGTAATCATTCTCTCCCAGCAAAAGACGACCATTATCACCACCAAGTGAATGAATACTACCACCCATCGGTCCATTACCGCGGCTCACCAGGTGTCGAACTATTCCTCAAATCCGAATAGCCCGCACCAGATCCAGGACCAGACCCAGAACCAATCTCACGATCTCTCAACCCAGCAACAGGAGTACTAACACTCACACTCGCACCAGACCCCCTTCTATCCGGCGAAAAGCGATCCGAAGGACCCCCAGAAATAGACCCAGGCCCAGGACTCGACAAAGCATGTCCAGGCCCAAACATCCTCTCCCCAGCACTATTCAATCGCGGCCGAAACGAATCCGGCGGTCCAAGTTGCAAAGCATGAGGCGAAGGTAATGCATTATGAGTGGAAGTCATCTCCAAAGGTCGGGGTAACTCGCGTAAACTCATAGCGCGGTTAGGGCGCGGGTCATGCGGGCCGGAACCTGAAGAAGTCGAACCCGAAAGTGAACCATGGATGGGAACGGGGCTGGATAAAGAGCCTCCTATCCCCACACCTACACCAACACCAACGCTAGATCCAACACCACCGCCAACACCAACACCCATTCCTACGCCCGATCTTGCGCGCGATACTTGCATATCGTAGGGTACAGAGGCGGGCATTAGACCCGGTGGTGGGGCGGATGATGGCGTATGGCCATATCCGCCCATAGCAACAGAGACAGCGGACGATGACCCAGGCACAGGAGCTGGAGCTGGAGCTGGAGCCGAAGCTGAAGGGAAAGCCGAGGTGCCGGGACTTGTTGGTGAAGGCGGGATACTGAAATGGATATCGACGGGTCTGGCGCGACTGATTGGGCGACGTGGGGGAGGGTACGTTTCGCCGCGGGCTTGGGCGGCGGCGCGACGGCGTTCGGTTTCTGCTTTGCTGGGGCGGCCGCGTTTGCGCGGGGGTTCGCCGCCTGGTCCGATGGCTGACCAGCGTGGGGAGAGCGGGGCGGGACTTTCGCTGCTGTAGGAGGCGTTGCTGGCGGGTGGTTTTGGTTGGATTAAGCGTGGTGTTGGCTGTGGGGGTTTTGGGTGGTGGGAGTGGGAGTGGTGCGGGTGAGAATGTGAGTGAGAATGAGAGTCAAGAGGGCGTTTGCGGGGGTCGTGGAGGGGTGGTTGGTGAGGTAACAGTGGGCGAGGTGTTGCGGTGCTCATTGGTGGTGTTGGGGCTGGTGGTGGTACTGAAGCTGCACCAATGGTTGATCCTGATGTTGATGCTGATACTGAGGCCGGTGCTGATGTTGATGCCAGTGGCGATGGGTTCGGTGCTGGACCCGAGCCTGTTCCTGGACCTCCGGGCGCATGAGGCTGGGTCATATTGAATAGGGCCATTTTGCAGGAATTAAGCGAGCGACCTGATTAAAGTGAGCAATGGTGGACATATTCCAAGATTGGCGCAATTGAGTGGTTGTTACCATGTGGGAGGGGAATATCATTCCAATTGGGTTCGATGCGATACTCATTGATAATGCGGACGAGATAGCTGGATGGGATGCCGGCTTTCTTGAGAATCTCGGAGAGTAGAGCATACTGAGAAAGTATTAGCTACAAGATTCTCGGAGTATACAGTCCGTCTAAGAGAGCCTGTGCCTCAGTGCTCTGGAATAAAATACCTTCTCGTCCTCCGACCAGGGCCTCTCGGGTTGATTCGACATATCCAACCATGGGAACGAAAAACAAACAGCCTCCGGTACGTGATGAATCGAGAGCGGCGAAGAAGAAAGCCAATGCGCAAATGCGAAAAGCGAGGGAAAGATCCGGACATAAAAAGGAAACCTTGGAAGAAATGAAACAAGAAATGAGAAATAGAAAAATAGAAAAAAAAAATAGACGGCGGGAATTAAGTCATTTCCACGCGACAAGCAGTGATAAAAGGCTAAGAAGAATGAGCGAACGAGAGTGAAGAAGAGAAATGAAACACAATGGAATGCACTGCTCAGTTGAGTAGAGCAGAGCCAGATCAGAAAAGCAGTGCGGTGCAGAGCAAGCAGATCAGAACGGAACCAAGCGAGGGACGAAAGTGAAGAAGAAACGATAGCCACAGAAAAGTCGACAAGAACAGAAAAAGAACGCAGGCAAAGAGTCCGCCGAGGAAAGGATTGGTTCGGAATCGCACAGGACAGGGCAGCTGCAGGAAAAGGAGTGGCTAGGAGACTTTAGAAGGGAAAAGGGGGGCAAGCAGAAGGGTTTCATCTTCCAGAACAAAAGCTCCAAACCTAGAGGGGCAAACAGGACACTACTGCAATGCTGTCTGCAGCAGGATGCCAGCGTGAAAAGCGGAGCCCACCGGTAGGAATGGTTGGGCCCAATTCTCAAATCGCGGTTTAAACTGACCCACTAATGGTTTGCCCCGCCGGGGTGAAACACGAGTCTGGGTACTTGGGAATGTACTTTTTGTCGTTGTCCTGGCGGTACTAAAGTGACTAGTGCGCGCTATATTAGCGGTAAGTAGAGGAAGTGTAAGTGGTAGTATCAAGTAGCTGAGCACAAAGGAGGACAAAGGAAACGGTTAGTCTTTATGGTTGGTAGCAGGTGCCCAGGTGCTTCCAAGTTTGAATATTTAATTACACTCAAAGTCAAAAGGATACATGCATGATGTACATAAATGTACATGTTGGCGCCAGTGGTACTTCCAGTGGTACTTACCTTCAACCCGGGCAGGCTTACACTAGTGGAGGTGGTAAGTTCCATTTTACCTGAGATCCCATGAGATCATAGGTTTCTTCCGCCTATAGTATTAATTGATAGAAACCCCCAGAGTACTACATAGTATAACAAGAACCTTGAATAGAGTAGGTACCTGAGTACTGGATCCAAGCCATGGATAGTAAATATCCCACGCTAATACGGTAAATGCAAATCATTGAACTGCACATCAGATCGATTGGTGACGAGCAAAAGTTGGAGTCTGCCGCTGATTCGCTGTATTGTCATTATGCTTTGCACATTGCTGTATAAAATGATTGGGCGAGGGTGCATTCCGAGGCCGAGGTATCAGGTCATGCTAGTGGTGTCGGTGCTATACTCGATACTAATACTACTACTGTATTTACAATGTGTATACTACTACAAACATAGACTTAATGAATAATTACTAGCTACTGGCTAATTCAAGTTACCAACAACCTTACCAATAACCACCCATAACTACTACCAGCTTTTGTTATACTGCATCACTGTTGCCAGCGTATACTTGCACGTGACAATCTCCGATCTCGCTGCCCCGACTACTAGAAGATCTCGCAACATCAACACCCTACAACATCTACAACAGCATATCTGCAAGACCAATGCCGCAGAAAATATTGCAAACTATAACTAACAACTCCCAACAACCCATTTCTCAATTATCACCGAGGTAGCTCCCCTAGCCTCGACTTTCTACTTCATCGTGCATCTCCGCTGCCTCCTCGCCGCAGGCGGTGAGCGCGAGATAATCCTCGATGGATCAAATTAATCTCCCTATCTCCCATCACTTCGCGTCTAGGTCGTGACGACTGCCCAAGGGTCCGAATCTCATGACCAGGCACAGATCATGGACTCCCCCAACGGCCTGAGAAATGGCAAGTCCATCTCCCCCGACGCGATGGCAATCTCCACGCCCTCCGCGAATGGCAACGCCAATTCCGCCCCAGATGCGATGAATGTCAAACTTGAGCCGTCTGGCGACATGAAGGTTCCTGCTTCGGCTTCTGCCTCTGCCTCTCCTGCTGCCTTCACCTCCGCAACCTCCGATCAATTCAATCCAGAAGCACACCCGAAAATGAAGGCCAGCCCCTCCGACGAGGAGACGGTCGGCGGCGACATCCTCCTCAAACAGGAGCCCGGCCAGCCTCCCAAGCTGTCGCGTAGCTCCTCGCAAAAGGTTGTGTCGCGCCCACCGCAGCTCTTCGATCACTTACCCGACAGCACTCAAGATGCCCTCGCGACTTTCGAGCAGATCCAGGCCTGCTGGTACGCGAATAAATACATGGGCTACACGGAACACGCAATGGAGTGTGACTGCTCCGAGGAGCGGGGTAAGTTTGATCCCTGCACCTGCAAGTGAGAGGAATCCGACGGACTTTGAACCCTTCTGCCGAGTTGAATGTGACTTGGATCTCCGTTGGACCTCCCTGTACAATCTCCAACGTTCTGTTGATCGTCATACTTATTACTCTCTTCTCAGATGCGAAACACGGCCAGAATCAAGCCTGTGGCGACGACTCCGACTGCATCAACCGAGCAACCAAAATCGAATGCGTGGGCGACTGCGGCTGTGGCGCCGACTGCCGCAATCAACGATTCCAGAACAAAGAATATGCGCAGGTCTCGGTCATCAAGACAGAAAAGAAGGGCTTCGGGTTACGCGCCGAGACAAAACTCGAACCGCACCAGTTGATCTTCGAGTATGTCGGCGAAGTCGTGGGCGAGGCCCAATTCCGGCGCCGCATGAGACAATATGATGAAGAGGGCATCAAACATTTCTACTTCATGTCCCTCAACAAGGGCGAATTCGTGGACGCAACGAAACGTGGCAACCTTGGTCGGTTCTGCAACCACTCTTGTAACCCCAACTGCTATGTCGACAAGTGGGTGGTGGGTGAGAAACTGCGAATGGGAATTTTTGCCGAGCGAGTTGTGGAAGCAGGCGAAGAGTTGGTCTTCAACTACAACGTCGATCGATATGGAGCCGATCCCCAGCCTTGCTACTGTGCCGAGCCGAACTGTACCGGGTTTATCGGTGGCCGTACCCAGACCGAACAAGCCACCAAGCTCTCGAATGCGACAATTGAGGCCCTCGGTATCGATGAGGAGGACGCTTGGGATACCGTGGTTGCCCGGAGGCCCAAGAAGAAGAAGACCGAAGAGAACGACGAGGAGTATGTGGACAGCGTGCAACCCAAGTCCCTTCAGGAGGATGGCGTCACCAAGGTCATGGCGGCTCTCATGCAATGCCAGGAGAAATGGATTGCCGTCAAACTTTTGGGCCGCATCCAGCGTTGCGAGGACGAGAGGGTGTCCAACAGGGTTGTCAAGATGCATGGTTACCAGATTCTGAACTCCCAACTCGCGCAATGGAAAGAGGATCACAATGTCGTGCTGCAAATCCTGGACATCCTGGACAAGTTCCCACGAATGACTCGCAACAAAATCATTGACTCCAAGATCGAAACGAATATACAGCCTCTCACCACTTGCGGCGACGAACGTGTCGAGCAGAAAGCCATCGTCTTATTGGCCGATTGGGCAGACTTGAAGGTAGGCTACCGCATTCCGCGTATGAAGCGGGACGAGCAAGCCAAGAAAGCAGTGAATCAATTCGAGCGCCGGGAATCCGGTCGCGAGCAGCGTCAACGCTCTGTCACACGATCACCCTCACCCTCATACGAGGCCCGACAACGCCCGACTCAACCACGACGAGAGAGAATTCAACACCAACAGAACCAGCGGCCTCGACCGAATCGTCGGCGCCAGCTCCCGGACCGTCAGCTCCCAGACGGATGGTTCCAGGCAGAGGACGAGTCAGGTCGCTTCTACTACTATACAGCTGATGGCAAACCTACATGGCAGAAGCCGACGGCTCCTGCGACTCCTGCTGCACCAACAGCACAGAAGAAGAACTTGGCTTTGCAAAGCATTATCGACGGGATTGTCAATTCGCAAGAAAAGACCCCAACCTCCGAGCACAAGATTGATACCCCCGACACCCCGCAACCGGCATCTGACCATCAAGAGAAGAAGCGAGAGGATAAAGGATGGAGGAAGCTTTCTATAGAGAAGCAGAAAAAGCTATACGAGAACACAGTACGTCTAATCACCCCAACATCCCCGGCCATGGCTAACCAACTCTCTCAGCTATTCCCCCACATCAAGCCATTCGTCGATAAATACAAAAATAAGATCCCAAAGGACGATCTCAAACGCTTTGCTAAAGAGGTATGCTCTTCCCTCAAGACCCAAAAGACCCCAATGCTAGTACCAGAGCTGCTTGCTTGGGGCCTGGAATATCTACCCTGTATAACAGCTAACAAATCTTCTAGACGGCCACCAAACTCGTGAATAGCGACTATAAAGCCAACCGCGTAACCGACCCCACAAAAATCAGTGACAAGCACCAACAAAAAGTCAAAAGCTTCTGCAAAGACTACTTCGACAAAGCCTACAAAAAACACAAAGAGCGCATGGAACGACGGTCCAAATCCAGCAGCTCCAGCGCCGCCAACACAACAGCATCAACAACAACAACAACACTCCCCATCCAACACAAAGAAACAGAAGCAGATTCCACACCCGCAGACGCAGACGAGGACGTCACCAAGCTCTCCGACGACGAAGCAGGTGGTGATGGTGATGGTACAACATCGACCTCACCAATGGACGACGACGCCTCGGCCTCAGCCTCAGCCTCACTGAAGCGCAAACGTCCCGAGGAAATCGATGCCGAGAATTTACTCAATGGTTCGTCGGCAGATGCTGGCTCAGCTTCTCCTTCCAAACGACAGAAATCTACACCCCCGCCGCCCCCTCCTCCGCCCCCTGATGCTGATGCTGACGCCGATGCCGATCTTGGCGATGAGACGCCAAAACTTGATGACGAGGATGATGAATCCGCTCCACCTCCACCTCCGCCCCCACCGCCTAAGGACGAGCATTCGAAGTCTCCTGATGAATATCCCGTTGAGATGGAGGGTGTTCAGCAACAGCAGCAACAAAATGGTGTTCAGGTGCAGGGGATATAGCACTGCCACTTTCATTTTCTCATTATTATCTTTTCTCTGGAATTCTTTTTTCCCTTTCTTCTTTTTAATTTGGGGTTTATTTATTCTATTTATCTTTCCTCCCTCTTACCATGTCATCGAATTGAGTAAATGGGTGATTTACTTCGGTGGAAAGATGGATAAGGAGGACTGACTGGTTGATTCCGCAATTCTATGCTATACAGTGCAATGCAACGCGGCGCGAAGCAAAGCGGAGAGGACGATTCGAGTGGATTCGGCATGGAGTGGGTGTTAAGTGCATTTTCTTCCCCTTGACTTCAAGTTTTTCTGGCAGTTTTTTGAAAAAAAAAGAATAGCGGTGGTGATGCGTGAAGGTGGGACGGACCTGGATGGGGACCAGGGCCAGGGCCAGCGAGGCGATATTCAATTCTTTTTTTGTCTTTCTTATCACCATCATCACGCCCCTTTTTTGCAGTTTAGTTTCAGTTTCAGGATGTATTTGGCAATACCCCAATCATAGTCAATATGGAGTTGGATCCTTTTCTTTTTTCTTTTTCAAATCTTTGTTTCTCTTAATGGGATGTTTTTGGGGTCATCTTTATAATTGCTTTTTTGTTGGGATTGTTGCTTTTTTGTGATGGGGGTTGGCTTCTTCGCTTATTGCGGTTTATAGTGGACTTGTATTAGGGACTCGGGGATCGGGGGCCTTTCTGGGTTTTGTCGTGCAGTAAATAGTAAATCTTGATTGCTATTCTTTGATATCGTGGATTTGATCTGATTTTACTGATGCCGAAACATTACAAGCTAGCTCAGAGTGAAGTCAAGCGCACTACTTCCTTTTTGAAGCAGAGAGCGCCGCGAACTGCTCATTCTACTAAGCCTTCACTCAAGCAAGCTGCAGGAGACGATTTAAAAGAATTGGCTTCTCCAGTGGGTCTTTTCTCTCCAAGGTGTCAACTTCGCCGTTCGTGATAGGAGGACCGTATTGATGAATATTACAATGAGGCCAATGGGTAGTTTCATTCCACTCATTGAATAACTCCGCCTCCAATTCCAAATCTTTCTTACTCGCAAATTTGGCCGGAGTAATGCATATACTATATTGGATGGTTCGGAAACTTCGGTTATCCTCATCAGAGAAGCAAGCATAATGTATGCTATGGCTGTCCCAGACGACAAACTCGAAGTTTCCAGATTCAAGACAGACTTTGATCAAGACACACCCGCGACTTTAAATTTTCCAATAAATTTGTCTGAATCTCAATTTCTCTCCCTAGAGACCTTCATAACCTTCATAATCTTCATCTTCATCATCCTCGTCGTACTCTATGAGCCTCGCTTCCTCCTCGTCAAAAACTTCCAATACATAGTTGCGCTCATCAGAGTCCGTCCATCTGATCCAGTCTTTCAGGAATCTCACTATGGGATAGTGTCCCTGTTTCTCAGCCAGGTTCACAGCTCTGAGGTACTGCCGTCGATTTGGGCCAGTAGGAGATGAACCCTGCTTGATAAGAAAATACAATATGTTGATTTGACCCCATTCTGCTGCCCCTTCAATTGCCGTTCTTCCATAGAGTATAGACCCCGGTGCGTCAACAGCTGCTCCAGCCTCAATCAACTTGTGCACAATTTCGGAGAACCCCTTGATTGCGGCGAATTGCAATGCCGTTGCCCCGGAATCATATAAAGGGCTTTGGTTGGGATCAGCCCCTTTCTGAAGGAGGAGGCTCACTAAATCAGTGTGTCCTTGTTCGGAAGCCATTTGTAAAGGTGAATTTCCAAATTCTGGATTAGGAGGATCATGGAGATATGCACCGCCTTCGATCAAGATTTTTGCAAGGTGATAATCTTGTCGATGAATGGCATCCTGCAAGAGTGTTCCATCACGATCTGATTGAATATCAACATCCGCGCCACTTTCAATCAAGAGTTCCACAAGAAGGTAGTCCATTTGGGTAGCAGCAGTCTGCAAGACCGTTTCGCCATAATCTGATTGCAAGTTGACATCTGCGCCGTTCTCAATCAAAAACTTTACGAGCCGATGGTCTTCCTCCTTAACGGCCATATGCAAGACCCCACCACCGGAATCGAATCGCATGTTCACATTTGCACCCTTATCAATCAGAATCGTTGCAACAGAATAATTTCGTAAATTAGCAGCAATATGGAAGGCTGTCCCATAAAAGTCCGATTGTATGTTGGCATCTGCACCATTTTCAATCAATAATTCTGCAATCGAGGAATATTCACGAAGAAGAGCGCGATGTAGGACCGTCTCGTGAAAGTTTGATTGCGCATTGATATCTGCACCTTTTTCGACCAGAGTCTTCACGAGAAAAAAGTCATTCTGATCGACAGCAACTTGCAAAGCCCTCTCGTTCAGTTCTGATTCAATATTGACATTTGCACCGTTTTCAATTAGCAATTTAATGAGGGAATGCTTCTTTTTTCTAATGGCAACTGGCAGGGCTCTTCCATACTGATTTGATCGCCTATTGACATCTGCACCAGTTATCGTTAAAAGCTCGGAGATGATTTCACAGGAACTTTCATTGACCGCCAGGGAGAGGGCATCATCAGGTAAAAAAACTTCATCTGGGCTAGGCCGATGATGTAGTCCAATTTCTGCTCCGAGAATCATTTTCACAAGCTTCAGGTCATTTGACTTAATTGCTTCAAGCAGCACTCGTTCTCCACGTCGCCCGATGTAAAGAGGGGCCACTTTCCTCAGCGTTTCAGGATCCAAAAAAAAGCTCCACGAGCTCTTTGTCTCTAGATCTGACAGCATGTAATAGAGCGGAGCCACCCCCCAGAGGAGCCTCAATCGCGCCACTTCGTAAGAGAAGTTTTGTAAACTCTGAGTTTCCACAAAAAGTCGAAAATAATAATGGTGATGCCCCCTCGCCAAGGTCCGCATTAACGTTGCACCCAAGGTCAATGAGGTGCATTGAAACCTCGATATCGCCTCCAAACATTGCCATCACGAGTGCATTGAGAGACGGACACTTTTGGCAGCAGGGGTTGTACCAGAGGTCTTGAGACAATCGCTGTAGACAGGTCGGAATACTTCTTGTTTTGATCATGTACATGCAACTCTGGATTGTTTGATTGACATCTGCTCCAGAAGCTAGTATGTCCAGGAAAATATCCTTTCTGATGGGTTGTAGGCTTTTCAATAATGCATGGCCCTTCTGTTGAGGTGTCCATAAGTTCAATTTTAGCAAGGCCAGCAGAAAGTCACGATTGCCTTTCAGAACCGCTATCTCAAGCACTGAATTAAGGTTTAACAGTTTCACACCATCACCAAAAATTGGGGTTCTCTGCTTCCACCATGGAACGCCCCTGTGCCTCGCGATCCAACTTCCCAATCGGGGAGATATTACCAGCCTTGTCATTAAGTCAAAGAGTACTGTGGGCTGCCCTTGTGAAGAAAACCCAAGTTCCAGAAGACGATCAAAGACATAATGATTGCCGGACAGTATAGTGATCCCAAAAGCTGTGGGTACAGCATATCGGTGACCTTCTAGTATGCTTAGCAAATCCATAAAGGGAGATTTGCTATCTTTCTGCACGGCTTTCGAAACAATCATGTTGATGTCCGATTCGTTGACGTGAGAGCCATGGGAAATGAGCAATTGTGCCAGTGAAATATCATCTTCGTATATTGCAGATTCAATAGGCCTTAACTCTTTCTCTGGTAAATCGAGAGTTGGCACCATAGAATTAGAATCATCATGGCCAACTCCTTGTCCAATAAGGAATGAAGCGAGAGTTTCGTCGTGTCTACCTATGGCTGTGGCCAGAATTCGAGCCCCGTTCAATCGCAAGATCTCGGGAAGCCACCCTGCAGATTTCAAGTACTCAGCGGTCCGGATACCGCCTACTGAAGGTACAAATAGGTCACTGATCGAGACGCCTGAATCTTTCAACAACGAGATTACCCCAATGGCTCCATTCATTATTGCCAATGCGATAGCACTCAATGAAGATCCCATGACAATGGGATTGACTGGTGCCCCAAGAGAAATCAGGTAGGAGGCCATATCTGAATCACTGGCTTTGACTGCTTCAATCATGGGCAAATCAAGTATACTCAGTCTTTCACCACGGCTAGCGTACGCACCCGAGAGTAGGAGAGCCAGACACAGGTCTTGTCTATGCCAGGCTCTTTGTATAAGAGTCTTTCTCACGGTTTCATGAAGCATTTTGAACTGATCGGCAGATATTACGTCTGCCCCGGCATCAAGGAGAAACTGTGTCGATTTTATATCGCTGCTGTACACCGCCAGAACCAACGGAGAGACAGATCCGCTCAGACCAAGAGGTAGATCGATATTTGCGCCAGCTTTCAACAAGACCTGCATAATCGCCAATTTTCCATCAGCTGCAGCAATTCCTAGTGGACTGGTAATATGATTGACCCAATCGTAAGAGTCGTTTTGTAACTCGCAGATTTGTGGGGCATTCACATCACAGCCGTGGTCAATAAGCCATTTGGTGAGCACGACATCTTTCGAGATACCAAGAAGTGTTTTCCCATCGACAGTGGTGCTGCTAAGATCGAATCCAGCATTATAAAGCATCTCGAAATAATCAATAATGATTTTCACCCAACTTTTGCGGCTGGCCGCCATACGAAGAGCCTGTGAGGAAGGGATTGCTCCGTGGGCGACCAACAGCTTAAATAATGCGGTGTTGTTATATTCGATGGCTCTTGTAAGGGGTGTTTCTTCAGCATTCATGGGCTCAGTAGATGCCCCATGTGAAAGCAATATGTTGGCCAGATCACATGCAGTCTCGGGAGGAAAAATTCCAGAAACATACTGCAGGGCGGTGCCACGGAAGTTGTCAATGAGAAGTGGTGTATTTGGACACATCCCGGCTTCTAGCATAATCCGTACCATCTCTTTGTCACGTATCTCTATCGAGGCTCTGAAGATTTTGTGAGCAATGACTTCAGCTGTCAGGTCTTTGAAAGCGAGAAGATTTCTCATGTTCTTTGCGTCGTCGAGTTTGCATTCTTGCAGAATATCGCGCAGAACCCGGAACTCGCTCCGTCTTGTGTGAAATGGGAGGGGAAATCTTTCGTCGGAATAGCTGATAAGTTGTATGTTGTTCGAGAACATATAGAGAGCAACAGGAAGTTCGGAGAAAGGGGAAGCGGTCTGTAGAGATTGTGCCGTGGCTTCGTGCTGTCCTTCACGCTCTTCAACTGGCATGATAGTTCTCAACGGCGCAACGGCCCGATAAACGTGACCTTGAAGAGGGTCGAGTGCTAAGCTCAAATCAAAAGGGATTGATGTGCGAAATGGATCACTTTCATATCCAATAGATCCGAGTGTCCAACTCTTTTGAATAGAGGGCGTTGAGTCAAATTTGACATCTTACCATTCAATATCAGTTAGATCAAAGCACCCAACAAGATCAGAACTCTTACCAAGAATCGAGAGTTGGCGTAAAAATGAGAACCAAGGAAGGTCTTCAGGCCACTGAAGCCCCAGATCACAAGGCGGTGCAGGAGAGCATACAATGACTCCCTCGGGTGTCGAGGGTAGAGATGCTGTCTCAGATAATTAGAAATTCAATTTCTTTCAAGGTTCCAAAAAATTTACCTAACTGGAGGCTTTGTATCTTTGACTCGTATGCATTCCGGCGGAGCCCAATTTGAATGCTCCTAGGCGATTGGAGCACTTTATTGATGAGCAGATCGGGGACCGGTTTCTTTTCAATTTTTCTTCTTTTGCACCTTTCTCTATAATATATCCAGGTCCTTTTTCCGCCGTAATTTTTCTTAAATCTCCATTTTTGGAATTGCTCTTGGTATTGCCACTTTCTATATCTTGAGTTAGAAAAAATGGTATCCAGAATTTATTGAAGATCAACTTGACATACGAAGCGACGAATCCATGGGTTAATTCCATGGTTTTCATGACCTTTTCCTTGGATTTTCCCTCTGTTATATACAGACGCTTGATTTCAGGCTTATAGGCCTCCCAGCGTTCGTTCTTCATGGTCGGTCACGGGTTAATCAGAACGAGAGGTCGTTTTTGGATCGCGCTATAGATAGAACTGCATGTGAAAGGGGACCATGCGAATGGAAATGATGGAAATGATGGAAATGATGGAAATGATGGAAATTATATGTATCTCATTTGCGCACGCATGATCTGTCGGTGTGATTGCGGCTGAGTTTGAGAACTTTTGTCGGAGCCTGGGTGCCGCAAATGGTTTTCTCCCAATAGCAGCTCTAGATTACTTCAGGGATGTCTGCAGGACGTGCTTGGCGGAAAAGGAACCCTAAGGAGAAAGTCGTGCTCGATTCACTACGGCCTTGGGTGGGCAAATAAGTGATGCAGCCATTGAAAATAAAACAAGACGTTATGTTGAACCTGGAAGAAATTCCCTTTCATCATATGAATTAATATTTGATGAAGCTGTCGCAAAAAGACAGAAGGCACTTAACTAAAACTTATGAGCAAAATATCCCCGGCTGATTGGTTGATGATTTTTTGGTTGGATTGAGGTCAGTTATCCCGGGTTCTTTCTAACTGCCAGTCATTTTCTAACTGGGAGTCCTTTTCTAACCGGGGGTTGGTTTCAGACCGGGGGTTAAACCCCCGGTTTTTTCTGACCCTTGGCTTTTTTTAACAGGCGAGAGAAAAAGTACGTGGCCATACTTCCTCCAATTGGTTGATAATGGTTTTAGGCGGGGCCAAAGACGCCAAGGCAAACTGTCACGAGAGTTGTCGCGACACAAACTGGAATACATTCCTGTGAGCTACGCTCAATCGCAAGGAGAACACGTACTTTATTTTTCTCTCCAATTATTGGCCCAGGACATTTTTTGCAGGTCTAGAAATAATGGGCCCAAATGATTCGTATTCTCAATTTTCCATATCCAGAATAGGCACCGAAATACCCATCTAAGTGTTGGAAACGATAAACATGGATTCCTTTCCTCGTTAATTGCTTATTTAATGCAGATAACTGGCAGATATGATTTTTCGACAGCCTGCTCGCATTGCCTATTTCGTCAGTTGCACGATTTAGTGAGTTCACCCTGCCCCCTTCTGTAGATTATAAGTAATATTTCTCGTGCACTCCAACATCTTGCGAATTCCTTTTCAGATTTCTATATACCATTGCCAGACTACGTTTATCTACTGTTTTCCAAGTCAGATTTTATACTATGGACTGGCACTGGCACAATGCAGACTCTAGTCTTCAAGAGCAATCCCAAGATCTATCTGGGGCCGAGGAAATTGAAATGAGCCACAATCTCAACAGTGCTCCAGAATACAATGAACTAGATGCTATTTTTGGAGATCTGTCGTTCTTTCTTCCCAGCCAGGAACTCAGTCTTCCTTCCCATTATTACACTGGTCACAATACTCTTTCTACCTCCTCATCTCAGGAAAATACAGCCTTGGATTTGCAAAGTACGAGTCAGAAGAGCCAAATACACAACTACGGGGGACCCAGCCGCAATCAAGATAGCTCGAGTGACGTTAGGTAAGTACCACGTCCTTATTTCGAAGATTTGACAAATTACATACTAACCATGACCCACTACAGCACAAATGCCCATCCATTGCTATGCAATTGGCCAAGTTGCAAACGTCCCGGCCCCTTCTCCCTCATGAAAAGTCTCAAGCGACACATCTATACCCAACATGTCGCTCCACGTTCCTTCCAATGCCCTCACAGTGAATGTACCATGTTCTTTAATCGAAAGGACAACCTAGATCAGCACTTGCGATCCAATGCCCACTGGAAGAAAATTTGAGCAGGGTTTTTAGCTATCTGGCGTTGGAGTTCTCTTGGCCATGCTAAAGGACTCTTAGGGACTTCAGCGATTGGCATGACTGGTATATAGCACGCGGTGGGAACAAGGGAATCGGATGTTTTGGAATCGAATTTAGGTACGGTGATTTGAAATTGTGCTTTTTGGGAGTGGCTTTCTTTCGCAATAGCCCGCTAGTAGATCATATGGAAGGAGGTTCTGAAAGGAGATAGATGAACTAACTGAAGTAGTACCATACGATCTGGCTTGTGTTCTTTTTTTTTCTCAAATAATGAAACGAGATAGAGTAAATAGATTAACGATACTGTAGAGTCCTGATTAGTGGTTCAAATTAGTTAAGTTAATCTTGATATAAATGAAACCACATCCGCCGAGCACCATGAATGGTCTGAATGTCATCTAAAAACTCATGTTACAGTCAAATAAACTGCGAAAGTTGGACAATCAAGATCAGTTTGATTAAATCACGAGTGCTTGTCACAATTTCGGACTAACTCAACCCCAAGCGCTGACCGGCTGAATCTTAGAAATGATTTTACTACCGATGAATAAACACAAATCCTAAAGAGACCAAAAAGCAACCTTTTAAAGTAGCTATTTGACTACTTTGCCCCTAGGTAATCCGACTTCATCAACCAGCGCTCTGCCATTTCACGTTGTCCTTAATTTAATCTAACCTGCTCAATAAGTTGGCGGTGGGGCCAGAACAGAGTGATTGGGTGCGTGTTGGTCTAGCCAATTTTGAGAACTACTGTATCATTCTACCTCAGGCAGATTTCAGCTTTCTCATCTCCCCTATCAGACTTCTTGACCACCCATCTGACCCTAAATAACCCATGCAAACCACGAAATCACCTTCTTCCGCGACACGAGACACTAGGTTAGGCAACTGGGTTGAGTCATCCATTGAAGTTACTTCTGAGTGCCCAAAGTTGCGAAGCGACTGAACCAGGGTATCCTGACCCTGTGCAGCCTGGATCTCCTCCACCCCTTCGGCTCGACCGATGATGATATGTGATGTGCCCTCAAAGGCACTGGGGTACCCATCAGTGACCCAATCTTCTGCCATAGAAGCCCGGCTGCACGACTGATGAACGGCAATAATCCTCTTGGCACCGGCCTGCTTTGCCATATTCAATGTTGCTCGAATTTCGGCAGTATGAGCAGCATGGTCATTGATGATGGTGATTCCATTGATAACCCCGATACGCTCAAACCGCTGCTGCAGACCGGGAAACGTACTCAGTGCTTGACTCAATATCGGTACTTCGATACCAATCTCGATGCCAATTGCAAGCGCTGCGAGTGCATTCTGAACATTCGCCACTCCAAGGGCATTCACAGTGATGCGGCCGATTGTCGTACGGCACTCTCTTTGTCGGTCACGAACGGAGATAACGAAAGAACAGCCATCGAGTGAGTATATAGGGTCCTCTGCACGGACATCTGCCTCTTCGGATAGCCCGTACGTCACTATATTTTGATCCTGCACCGAAGACATGATTTGTTTGACGCCTGGGTCGTCGATACAAAGAACCCCAAGTCCAAAAAAGGGCATATTATCAACAAATTTGGAAAATGCCTCCCGGGTGTGTCTTTCTTCCTTCCAAAAGTTGATATGGTCACTGTCAATGTTCGTCACAACCGTCACCAGATGAGGCAATTCCAGGAAAGACCCATCACTTTCGTCCGCTTCAACTACTATCCACTCCCCTGTTCCAAGGTAGGCGTTGCTGTCATACAGACTCATAGTAGCGCCAGTTATTACCGTGGGATCCAGATCAGCAGCCCGCATAATTGCCGCCAGCATGCTTGTGGTGGTGCTTTTGCCATGACTACCTCCGATAGCAATTGCCTTCTTATTCCGCATGATTTCAGCCAGCATCTTGGCTCGGTGTATGACTGGGATTGCATTTGCCCTGGCGGCTTCGACCTCAATATTTTCTTTGGTTCGCCATTTAATCGCCAAGGCTTGCCCTGACGAAACTACCAGTTTAGCAGAGCGCACATAGGCGGTGTCATGGCCAATAAACACAGTCACACCAGCAGCCCGGAGCCTTCGTGTGTTATCACTTTCTTTGATATCGCTACCTTGCACTTGGTATCCCAGCTGGTGGAGAATCAAAGCGATTCCTGACATTCCATGCCCACCGATACAGACAAAGTGAATAAGACCAATGGAGGGAGGGAAGCCGGGCATCGAAGGTGTCCGGTCATTCAGTAACCTTTCTTTGAGGCTTAAGAAGTTCATTTTGCCTTCTTTTCTCCAGGTATACAACAGGGTGGCGTTGGGAGAAAAGAGATCGCGATGATGAGATGTTGGACATCGCCCCGCAGTTGCCCAGGTGGACTGCACCTCGCTTCTGCGACATCTCTCGCCAATCGAATCGCCAACTGGTCAGTTCACGCTTGGGTGGAACCTGACTACGGAGTATTTGATGAAAACTTACGCAATTCGAACTGATTTTCATGGTGGATATATGTATCTATCTGATAATGTTTACTTCAGGAATCAACTGAAACCCTAATTTAGTCTGAACATCCTTTATAATTGAATCCGCCAGGAGCAATATCTCTCGGCCTTGTGCTCCTCCATAGTTCACGAGTACTAGAGCATGGGTAGCAGAGACCCCTGCCTTCCCTATTTGCCTTCCTTTCCAGCCACAATCCTCGATCAACCATGCTGCCGGTATAATATAGAAGCCATCTGGACCAGGAAATAATGGTATTTTTGGGTGGGCCTTCATGGTGGTCTTGCAGAGCGACGCATCACAAGTTGCATTCTTGAAGAAACTTCCCGCATTCCCCAATATTTTTGGATCAGGCAGTTTGCGTCTACGGAGCAGGCAGATTGCCCCACTAACCGATCGTATCGTGGGTGTCGTAACACCTTGTTGCTGTAGAACATCCTGAACAGAGGAATACTGTGTGTTTAAACAGTGGAACTGTGCTTTCGATACCCTGATGGTGACCGAAGAGATGAAAACGTTTTTCAAGGCATGTTTGAAGATGCTGTCGCGATATTTCAAGGCGCATTCATCTTTCGACATGGTTCTTATTTCACCGGTCTCCAGGTTGCACACCTCCACGCTTAACGTCACATCGCTGATCTCAGCTCCATAAGCACCAATGTTCTGTATTGGAGCTGCGCCGACCGTGCCAGGTATCAAAGATAAATTCTCCAACCCGCTGAGGTCATGATCGATGCAATATGTCACCAGTGACATCCATTCCACTCCCCCGCCAACTCTGAGGACTGCGTTATTTTCACTTTCGGATACGACTTCAATGCCGTAAATCTCGTTTTTCAGTATGACACCGTCAAAGGTCGCTTCGGCAAACAGAATATTACTGCCACCACCGATCACCAAATATCGAAGGTCACGGAACTGGGGTGAAGCCAGGAGATCTTTTAGGTCGTTTGTACTGCGGATCCGTACAAGATAACGAGCAATTGAGTCAACATTGAAAGTGTTGTACTGCCGCAGATTTACATCTTCTTCCCAACAGAGAAGCGACATGATGTGCAGCAAGATCAATTTTGCTTGACAGTCGCGGGCAGCTGCTGCCCCACGCGATTTAATTTTGGCGAACGCACAATCGATCGAGGGGAATTCGATGCATCTGGCGATCATCGCTCCATCGACCCACTTGTTGCCTTATGTAGTACATAGTCGAGATTTCAACGACGCAGACTGTACGGCGATTGGTCGATACGGCAGAAGTACAGATCTTGGCTCCATGAAGCTACACCGCATCTAGGGTAGTATCGTACAACCAGCGGCACACCGCTAGGGTTCGAGGAAGGAAACGGGTGAACTGAACGGAACAATATGAAGATTGATATCTAAGGTATCAGGCAAAATCAGGCCAAGATCAGGGTGTCATATCATCCAAAGGGGCTGTTTCACTATCCATACCCAAGATACACTCCAGTCGAAATCAGATCATACCCCTGCTTCATGCAATGACGGGCGCTATTGTCATTCAGGGCGGCTACGATGTCGCTGGAGATATCCACGTCTCGGGCTCAAAGAACGCCGGACTAGCGCTGATGGCAGCGACAGTGCTCGCGTGCGGAAATAGTACCTTGCAGGGAGTTCCACCGGTATCTGATATCCACAATATGGCTCGAAATCTCCAGTATCTTGGTGCGAGCATCAAACGTCTTGATGGAAATCTCCATATTGATACGACAAGATTAATATCTCTTCATGTACCGGATCGCCTGGCAGGCCGTTTGCGAGCGTCCATTCTGCTGCTAGGCCCTCTTGTTGCACGATATGGATATGCCAAGTTGAGCCTACCGGGGGGTTGCACGATTGGTGACCGCCCAATTGAGGAACACGTTAGAGGACTCGAAGCTTTAGGGGCTCGTGTCAAATTGACCAACGACTATCTCGAAGCACATGCCACTCAGCTCCATGGTACTTCTTTACATTTGCAGACTCCGTCCGTAACCGGGACAATGAACTTGATAATGGCAGCTTGTTTGGCACATGGTACCACGCACATACACAATGCAGCCCGTGAACCGGACATCGTCGACTTGATCCTGTGTCTCATAAAGATGGGTGCGCAGATCCAAGGGGCTGGGAGCGATCATCTCATTATTTTCGGCCATGGCCGCCCGCTATCTCCATACCAGTACAAAGTTATGGAAGACCGGATCGAGGCAGGAACCTTCTTGATCCTTGGAGCAATATCCGGGAATTCACTTACCGTTCATGGCTGTCAAACTGAATATCATACGGCACTCATCACGAAACTTCGGGCTGTTGGCGCTATCATCGATGTCTCCGGAAATTCAGTGACTGTATGCAAGACCAAGAAGCCATCACCCACCGACATCCAAACTGGGCCATATCCCGGCTTTCCAACAGACCTGCAGCCGCAAATGATGGTTCTACTCTCCCTGGCACAAGGTATTAGTGAAATTACCGAGGCGGTTTATGAGAACCGGTTCAGTCAGGCCGTAGGCCTCCGAGCCATGGGTGCAAATATCGAAATCTGTGGGCAGATTGCCACAATTTCTGGCATACCGAGTCTGTCTGGTGCAGATGTCTCTGGCTCTGACTTGAGGGCGACTGCTAGTCTCGTTGTTGCCGCTATTGCTGCGAGAGGAACTTCCTTTATCAGGGGTGTGGAATACATCGATCGCGGGTATCATGATATGGAAAGGAAGTTGCAAAATGTAGGGGTAAAGATCACCCGGGTCCATGGACTTGATTCAACAAAGAAGATTGAAATATGAATGAATGTTTCCTTCCGCTATTTTACGGGAGCCACTAAGTCACATGGGTAGGGCTGACTGAGCTCAATGCTCAGTGGTCTGGATCAATAGCAAACTTGAAATTAGGACGGAATGCAGAAGCGTTGGGGGGGGGGGGGGTTATTAGATGGAGCATATGGGAGAAGTGGGATGATTGAAGATGAAACATTTCGAGAGAGACTCGGATACTGTAGGGCCCCCACAACTCTACAGGAGGTCTATCTGTGTAAATATAGGGGTTGGGGCCGGGAAGAGGAGAAGGATCACAAAAAGGGAGGGCATCACAATGTGAGAGGAGGTCACAATATGAGAGGGGGTCACAATATGAGAGGGGGTCACAATATGAGAGGGGGTCACAATATGAGAGGGGGTCACAATATGAGAGGGGAATCTCCTTTTAACAAAGAGGCACATAACACACGCAAGGCAGCAGAGTAAGCGCCAAGCAACTATTTTACCCAGGAGCACAATGTAATGGGGACGAATCTTCGCTCCTAGTAGTAACAAGGTATCGTCATGGATGAGGACATTCATTGGCTGGCCCTTGCAAATACGGCGGGCAAACCGATAGGCAGAGCTGTATTTTCAATGCTGAAAGGATCCTGGAAGCAAACGTATCGGGGGTGAAATCCCAATCCATGATAGATCATCAAATACTAGTGCCATTTTCTGGCACCTGGGGTCCTGCGAAGCAAAATTACGTTATTCCTAGTCGTATGATACAGTAAAACCTTGGGTACCAAGAACTGGCTATGTGTAGGTATCATGTCTGCTCGCTGGCTTTTTATGTATATTTGAGTCTTCATTACACATGATGGGCAAAGGCTCGCAGATTTATTGAGTAAATTTGTTATACATATTGAGGAACTAATAACTAACAATACCTTAAATGTGGCAGCAGTGGGAAAAGACAAATTACATATAGTTCGCAAAATAGGAGGAGTATTCTAAGTACAGAAGGGGAAGTGTCAAGAAAGTGTCAAGAAAGTGTCAAGAAAGTGTCAAGAAAGTGTCAAGAAAGTGTCAAGAAAGTGTCAAGAAAGTGTCAAGAAAGTGTCAAGAAAGTGTCAAGAAAGTGTCAGAGAAGTGCCAGAGAAGCACAGTGGGATCGGCGGCCGTGCAGGATGGGCGGCACGTGGATTGGCGAAGAGGAGGATACTACACACAATCAAATATACTAGCTTCACAGTATTGAACTGTAATTTTAGCCTAGTCACGCATTTTAGCGGTTATTTTGTGGTTGTTTTGCCGTTTCGACAGGAAAGGAGAGGTCACCAAAACGCGAAGCGGTCAATTCGACAGGTCGCGCAGAAGCGACCGGCACGCGGATTGGACGGACGCGAGGTGGCTAAACCACGCCTGAATCCATGCCCAGCCTTCATTGGCTATATTAATGCGGACTCGCAGAAGTACCGTATCACTCTAGATGTGTAAAATGATGATATTTCAGCCATGTTCACGACTAGTGCGGCCCCGACTAGTGCGGCTCAGACCGTAGCAGTAGTATTGTGATCAATTTCAACATACGGGAACATGAAAGTTTTAATGAGTGAGTTAGAGCCCTGGACTTTCTATAAATTCTCTGTCTTTTCCGTCTCTGTTCGATTACAACGTGGATTTACTTCAGGTTTTCCTCTTTCTCTCGATATAGGACATTCAGGGCTATTCATATTGATATTTATCCGATCCTCGCGAGACTCCATACAAGTACCATGTCTTGGCATCTTGACAACACGAACCCTTTGAGCGCCCATGAACAAAATCGAGGAACCTTCGAGGAGCCAAGCAACAGAAGGGCCCAAAACATCAATGGCATATCCGACTCGGAATGTGCAGCGTTGGGCCTTTTGTTCGAGGACCCGAGGCCCTTCACCTCCGCCTACTGGCAGACCTTCGACTTTCTCTGTCGATACTGGCCACCCGTTACTACTACTTCTAGCTCGAGCAACACACCTCAAAACTTTCAAACAGATCTTGGAGAAAAGTCTTCAGTCAATCGCCAAGCATTCAATAGTCGTGGCGATCATCAAAAAAAGAACAAGGATAGGTAAACAGGAAACTTCTACGCCGATGATAAATATAGCCCATCATATACTAATACATAATATAAACATCATAGAACGATACCTTCCGAGTCTCCTTTTATATGCCGCTGGCCGAGCTGCAAACGTCCCGGACCATTCTCCAGAAAGGGAGTTTTGAAACGCCATATCAATACTCAGCATCTTGCTCCACGGTCTTTCAAATGTCCTCATAGTGGATGTACCATGTTATTCAATCGAAAGGACAACCTAAATCAGCACTTAAGATCCGATATTCATTGGAAGAAAATCTGAGAATTCGATATCTGGTCTGACGCTAGAGGTTTCTTGACCATCGTCAAGGACTCCGAGGGATTTCAGCGGTTGGCATAGTGGGTTCACGCGCGGCGAGAACAAGGGAATTGGGTCTTTGGGGATCAATTCTATGTATGGTAAATGGTTAAATTTGGAGTATGCTGCATAGGGGCTTGAATGAACAAAACAGGTTCACACCAAAAATGTGTTTTAGCAGATCGAGACAAGCCTTGGCGAGGAGAAGGAGTTAAGCCATAGATGCCCTAGGCATCCTAAATCGGTTCCTTCCTTGCTGCCTTTCTCTCATATATTTATATCCATCTCGCATACATCACCATTTCCATGGTTGTGAGCTTCTGTCAGAAGGTATAGACCACGGCGGGGGGTGGTCGAATCGGCGTGCGCGCTGATAGACCTCGACTAAAAGGGCTTAGTGTCCCCCGAGTTTCACCCAAAATAGTATGTGACCTCATGACTAGAAGGACAAGGTGAAATGGGTGATCGGTGTATTCGTGAAGCTATGTGGAAGCTCGAGCTAATACATGGGGTGTGCGGGGCTGAATAAGGACTGAGAGCCTCAGGCCTCTAAACATGACCTAACTAATGACCGAGCGGTCAGAGACCTGTAGTTGCGGCATTCGTGCGTAGAACTCACAGAGTCACGCACAAATGGCGCATCTTCATACACACACAGTAGAGACTCTTCATTCAGGGCTGAAAGGGGTTGAGAGGGGTTGAGAGGTTGTTGGACCCTAGGCTTCATAAATTGTTTGTTCTTTCTTACTTTACATGCTACCAATTCACTTCGAGTTTTATATCTCTATTTGCAGAATATCCTTTCATATTGTTATCTATCTGATCCCCGAGACTCTATACAACTATCATCATGTCTTGGCATTCCTACAACATGAATCTCGCAAGCATCCAGGGACAAATTCAGGAACCCTTCATGGTAGCAAGCAATAGAATGGCTTCCAACACCGACAGCATATCAGAATTTGCTGAGCTAGACCCTTTATTCGAGGGTCTGGAGGCTTTTACCGCCGATCATTTACTTGACTTTCTTTCTCGAGACGGTCCAGCTGATGATACACCTTTGAACCCGGGCAACGCACCTCCAACCTTGAGCTTGCCGACGGTCGTTGAAGAAAACAATCCAGACAATTTCTATAAATTCAATGGTGGTAGCAAATATCCGAGCAACAGGAGCCTGAGGTAAACAGCATATTCCCACACCAAGAATATAGTAAATCCAATCGCATACTAATGCACATCTATCTACAAAGTGAAACCTCCTCCGAGTCCCCCTTGCTATGCCCATGGCCAACCTGCGAGCATCGCAAACCATTCTCCAACAAGGCAACTCTAAAACGCCATTACAATAGCATACATGTTGCTCCGCGTTCCTTCCCTTGCGACAAGTGCCATTGGACTTTCAACCGCAAGGATAATCTGAAACAGCATCTGCGATCTGTTCATCGGGAATAGAAGGAGAAGAGTTGAGCAACAGGGTAACTCTTCGACTCGTGTTATTCTCTCCTTCGGGTGTGATAATGGGATTATGTATGCATGATGTTGCGTAGAGCGGGCATGTGGCGTACAGGGCGCACAATATGGTACCTAGAAGTATACGCACTAGATAGTACAGAGGAAATGGTTACGGTTTCTTGGGGGATAAATAGTTTCATGTTTGATATGGTAATAGCAGCATTTCGGGGTCATTTCAGAGCTAATTTAATGAATCTTTTCTTGGATGCATTGATTTAGAGATACTAGCAACGGAACTCGTAGTCCGGACCGCATACACAAAGCAAGTCCTAACTACTAGTAGTTACTAGATTAAACTTTGGCCAAGTATACTAGCAGACTCCCGAACCACTACTCCAACAACCCAGCACCATGGGCCTGGGCATTTTAACCAGATCTGCTACTGGCATAGGGTCACGTTGCGACTGCATCTCCAGCGAATCTGCATAGGTAGTACAGCTGCATCTGCATAGCATCTCTCCCCATTTCACCCACTCGCTGCGTCCCATCTACGCCTACGTCTACAACTACAACTACAACATCAATACGAAAGATAAAGCACAGCAGAGCACAATCATCAGATCACGGTCATAAATCATAATTGCGACAGGACAACTTCCAACCACAACAAGAAATGCACACCATCGTGAATAAAAAAAGAACAATACCAATATCATCAAAAACCACAGACCCCATTTTATCGCCTAAAACCAGAATCTCGTCCTATATCACCTCATTTCACACCCCTTCATCCGACCAAGCCAATCTTGGCATGGGCCTCTCGAAAGGAGTGAAGAAACAGGCAAGAGCAGGAAAGATCCCACCAAGCAAAGCAAAGCTCCGCTTAGTAGAAACTCTCAACAATACTCTCCTTATTAGGACCGGCCGCACCAGCACCACCAGGCGCCATCTCACCGAGACGGAAAACAGACTCAATAACACTCAATTCAGTAGCCGTAGTATCAAGACCCGTAATAGCGAGCCAATCATTAACAACCATACCCGCACCAACAACTGGCGAGCCACGATTCACACTACCAGCGACAAGGGGAACCTGCAAGAGACTGGACAATTCATCTTGGTCCCGGATAGAGGTCTTCGGATGAACGATTCCACCTTGGTTGGAGAGGGCCATGTATGAGCCTGTAAGGACGTTGTCGGCGACTGTTTGGCGGAATACTTCTACGCCTAGGACGTCGGCGATGCTGCACGAAAAGCAAACAGTTAGACAACACTTCACTTCAAGGGAAAAAGGGTATTTTGGGGGGAAGTGGGCGGCCTACATCTCCTCAGTCTCCCTCTCCAAATCCGGATGAACAATGGCAACATGATCATTACAGCAAATGACGTTTCCAAGAGCAGAAAGACGCTCTTCTATCCGTTGGATTTTTACAGCGTCCGGAAGCGTGTTGCGGAGGTGCTGCAGTTCCTGGTCTGTGGTGGTTGTGGGCACGAGGAGACCGTTCTTGTTTCCGACGGTTAAACGGCCGACGATTCGGGTTCCTGCGATCGTGGCGTGGCAGATGGGGATTACGTCCTGGAGTTCGGATTCGAAGACACTGGAGAAGGTGGTTAGTTTGCGTTTCGCTTTGCTTTTCTGCTGCTTTGCTTTGCTCTGATTGGAATGGGTTGGGCTGAGTTGGGACCGGGTGAGTTGGTCGGTCTGGTTCGACTGGGATTGTATTGCATCCATCCATCATATCCCACCCCGCCCTTACCCATTACCGGCCGGGTCTTGGGTTCAATGCAGTGCAGTCGAGTGCAAGCCAGTCCGCCAACTTCGCCCAACCCCGCCCATCAATCCAAGCAATATCAACACAAACGCACCTGTAAAAGTTCTCCGAAGCACCGACAGCAACGATAGCGTAGGAGTTCGTCAGACGGGCGAAAACACCAACCCTGCGGAGAAAGAAAGAAAGTATTAGCACGATGTTCTGGTCTGATTTGGTCTCGTAACCTCTAAGTGTGAACCAAGTCCTGTTCAGTCTAGTCTAGTCAAGCACTACGACTGGACTGGACTGGACTGGACATCCTGGCCTAGCTGCCTTGGATTTCTCCTTCTCTTTCATTTCCGCCGGCGTGGGTATCTTACTCGTTGGAGTTCTCGAATTGCGCGCGCACAGCCATGAGGGGTGGTAGTGAAGGATCTGCGGGGGTATTCGGAGTGAGAATGGTGGAGGGCGGGCAAAAAAATGCGAAAATGCGAAAGACAAAAAGAAAAGGCTTTCTTGTCTAAGCGAAGTTTAGGAAGTGATCAAAGCAAACGTAAAGCGAGATACCAGCTCCGTTATGAAGACAGAAACCGAAAGGTGAAAAAGTGCAAAGCTGCAATCGCATTTTCTTGGCGGGTCCGCTTGGTGGGGTTACTGTTGGTGTACGGGTATTGGTTTGTACTGGTACTTACTAATGCATACATTTTGGTACATTTTGGGCAGTGTTTTGGTGTGTGGGTATGTACCGGTACCAGCACTAGCACCAGCGGGTGTTGAGTCATCCTGTCTCATGTTGACGGTGATTCATACTCGGGCAATGCAATACGGATTAACTAGTGCAAGGCAATGACTAGTGTGTGGCGCAGGGGCGAATTACTAGTAAGTAGCTGTATGTATGCCTAGTCTAGTCTAGGTGTAGGTATGACTGGCTGTGACTTGAAGGCTGTGCTAGCTTGTGGACAGCAGCGGGAGTAGTAGAATTAGTACTATGTGCATCCAGATACAGACCGGGGGAAGGGAGGTAGTAAATTGACAAGTAAATTTGCATTTAATTTAATTTGAATTGAATTGAATTTGGATTTTATTCGACCAAACAAAAGAAATAAGTCCAAGAAATAGAATAGGGGGGGTGGTCATGTAAAGCAAAATCAGAAAACAGAACAGAATCAAGGATCCTCGGGGAATAGGAGGAGAAAAAAGGAGTAAGGTAAGTAAGATAGGGTTAAGTAAAACGCCACGCTCAAAGACAAAGGATAAAGTACACGGGGATTTCGAATCGTTGATGTTGATGTTGATGTTGATGGTACATCCGCTGCCGGTGCCACTGCCACTACCACACGGTGCCACTGCCACGGCCACACATCAGGGTAGCTGCATATCGTAGCATACGGAGGTGATGGTGATGATGGTGATGGTATGATTATGATGATACACTTTTGTTTTGTTTTGTTATTATTTTCCTTCTTTTTCACTCGCCCGCCTCACGCCACTACACGTCCCTAGTAGCGACGTGGTGGCTGTGGCGGCGGAGCTCCATGCGGAGAATGGTGAGGCGAAGGGAAATACATCCCCGGTCCTGGAGGCTGCCCCGGTCCCTGTCCCGGTCCTGGTCCTGGTCCTGGTCCCTGTCCTGGCCCTCCCGGTCCCCCGGGTCCCAGAGCTGATCCCGGCGCAGGTCCAGGGCCGGGAAAGTAATTCGGGAGCGGGGGTAAACGCTGGAAATTCGAGCCTGGTGGGGGGGGGGAGTTGAGGAGGACCATTCATTGAGAATGGATCTGGTAGACCTAATTGGCCTCGTGCGGGGAGGATACGGCGCGGTTGTTGTGTTGGTGTTGGACGGGGGAGGATGAAGGAGCGTGGATCTGTTGGTCCGTGGGTGTGGGTATGGGGGTGGCCGTGGGGATGACCTTGACCTTGACCCTGCCCTTGTCCTTGACCAGGACCAGGACCGTGGGTGTGGCCGTGACCCAGAGTTGGAGGAGGCGGGACACCAGATGTTGGGATGAGATGTCGGCTAGCCGGTGACATGTTTGGATCCATTCGGGGTAGGTGTGGTGGAATTGGCTCCGAGAGCGCGGTGTCCGCAAGCATAGATAAGGCTTTTGGCGGCCAGTCGGCGACACCGTCGAGGCCTCCTCCTTCTGCGACGACTTGTGCCGCTTGGAGGAGGTTTGTCAGTGTTCGCGTGACGTGGTCTTGGACTGTTGGGTCTGTGATCGAGTCGAGGGCTTGCATTTGCGGATTCAAGTCTTCGCCTAGTCGGACTTTTTGCACAAAGTCATCCCATGTTCGGCGGCCGCGGTCGTAGGCGGCTGCGCCGTCTGGTTCTCGGACGGCTTCGGCGAAGAAGCCGCGCTCGACTTCGCGGGTGCCGGCTTTTCCAATTCGGAAGAGGTAGTGTGGTTCCTCGGCGTCGGGGTCAGATCCGTCGGTCTGTGATGAGTTAGAGATTGTGTTGAGTAGATAGATGTGATGGGTAGCTATTTGTGGATTCCTTACCTCGGTATGTTCATCGTCCTCGGCGGCTCGACGGCCCAGGACCAATTCCATATATTTGCCTCGAGCAGCATGGAACATTTCATCTTGGATATTCTCGAGTTGTTCCTATAATGACGATCAGCATACCATTCTTGCCTTCAAAAGAAATCCCCAGAAAAGGGGAAAAGGAAAACCCACATTCGCCCTCGTCTCAATAAGATGAACCTCCCCAGCATAAACCTTATTCTCCGCCTCAACCTTTAAATCATAATCATCTCGAAACCTCGTCAAAGCCTTACGCTCATACTCCGCCAAATCCCGCTGAACCTGCCCAAACTCGGGACACTCCTTATGAGCATTTTTCTCCCTGGCAATCTTAGCCATAGAATGATCAGCCAGAACACTAAGAGCAACCTGCTGCGCCTGTCCCACTTTCTTAAAGAGGAGCGCCAGTTCCTCCTGCCGATCCTTAATAGGTTTCGTCGCGGGGATTGGCGAAGGCGAACGTCGCCGACTATCACTATCCCAAATCTCGTCTTCGATTCGTTTGCCGCCGCGGCCCTTCGCTGCGGCAGATGCACGCGCACGACCGCGTCCACGTCCGCGAGCTCGTACAACGGTCGACGATCGAATGGGTCCTATTGCGCCGCCGCGACTACCGCGTCCTCGACCCCGGCCTCGGCCTCGGCCCCGATAACCACCGCGACTTCCACGACCCCCGCGTCCCCCGGCCCCCTCGAATGGGCGCAGCTGGGACGGGGGCTGGATCTTGGTCCGCGGCTTCGTCGGGTGAAGAGGTGGCGTGCTGAGAGTCGAGCTCTGTTCCATTTGCTAGGGCGTCGGCTGGCTGTTCGTCGTCTTCTAGTTTCGGTTTCTTGGTTGCTGGTTCCGAGACGGCGCGGGACTCGACGTCTGCGCTTTCATCTTTCGTCTCGGTTGATTTGCGCTTGCGCGAGGGCCGGGCGATGACATGCCGCGTGATTGGGGCAGCGACTGTGACTGCAGCTCCTGCTTGGGGCTATCGGCTTCTTGCGAATACGTCGGTGCGGACGTTGAATATGCCGAGTCGGGACGCAGATTCAATTCGTTATCCTGTAATTTTGTCGTCGCGAGGCGTGTTTCCCGCTCCGCGATTGCCGGCGATGGCCGGGTAGATGCAGCATCATGCAGATGTTGCAGATGTTCCGCCGTAGGGTTAGAGACTTGAAGTTTGATACGTTGCTGCGGTTTAAAGTCCTCATCATACTCCTCCTTTTGAGGCGAGGCGTCGTCGCCAAAATCATCTTCATCATCGTGCTCGCTAGGCTCTGATTCGCCTGCTTTACTAGGCGTTTCGTGCTCATATGATGACTCGCCGGGTTTGAGTCGCGACGATTGACGACCCGGAGCTGATTGGCGCGCTGATTGTCTCGTTGTCCGAGATGATTCGGGGACAGCGAGTGCGCGTTTGGAGCGCCGCCGCAAGGGAGTCTCCGGGTTCTGCGATTGCGAACCGGTAGGAGTACTCGATTGGGCGGTGGATGGCTCGAGGTGATGATCCTCTTGACTTTGGCTGCCATGACCAGGACCATCTATGGTAGACCGTAAGAGATGCGGGGCAACCTTTAGAGTGACGATGCGCGAACGAGGAGGGTCTTCCAACTCGCTATCGCTGTCAAGATGATGTTCATCGTCAATGTCATTTACTGGCGACGATGCGCGCGCTGCACGCGCCGGGGCAGTTCTGGTAGCCCAGTGATTTGCCCATCGGCCTCCTCTAGCGCGGCCACCGCGACTACCTCGACCACCTGGGCAAAGTTTAGTAATTGTCGAGTTAAATCAGCGATTAATGGAATCGATTATACATACCGCGACCACGGGTCGGGGTGGGAGCGACCATGCGCGCGGTGACACGATTTTTTCTTCTTCCCACCATCGTCCCTGGTGGAGTCAGTAAGGGCGGAAGCAAAAGAAGGACGGAGTGGAGCAGGGAGTAGCGGAGTAGCGTCAGACTTTTGAAGTCAAAACACAAAGTACCGCATTGAAGGGAGAAAGGCTGTGGCGGCCCCGATTGTACCAAGGGGGACGGATGAAAACGGATGGGGTGGGATGAGATGGGAAATAAAGAGTAAAATAGGCGAAGGAGAGTGGAAGAGGAGAGAAGAGAATGCGATGATGGGTGATGGGGGTGAAGATAAGGTAGAACCTTGGGGTAATGAAGAATGATGAAGAGAGATGAGGAAGATGGAATGGAAATGGAAAAAAGCAATGGAATAGAAGTAGCAGAGCAGAGCAGAGGAATGGGATGGGGATGGGGATAAAAAGACCAGAGGCTTCAGGGTAGATTAGGTGAGTAGGAGGAATACGATGAAGCGATTCAAGACACGCGGGCACAGAGGGAGAGAGTGGGCAGAGAGAACAGATGAAAAAGAATAGCAGGGGAAAACAGGGTAAATTAACAAGAGAGGACAACCTTAGGAAGTAGAGTAGGGCAGAGCGTAGAATAGAGCGGAGAAGAAGAGAGAAGAAGAACGCGAACTTACCAGGGGCAGAAGGATCTACTGAAGCAGGATTGGGGGACTGAACATGGGGAATTAAATAAAGGAGGAGAGGAGAGTAGAGGGGAGTGGGTGGAGTGGAGTAGAGAAGAGGAATTAAAGGAGGATTACTCCGTATAGGGAGGGGAGAGTAGAATAGAGAGAGTCCTGTTCTGGTCGTAAAAGATGAGAGTGAAAGTGAAAGTGTAAAGGAAGGGATTGCCGTTTTTCCGCGCGGCTCGGCCCAGCCTCCGGAGAGTGTTAACAGTAGTAACAGTTAACACTATACAGTAGAGTAGGGTGATGGAGATATAATTAAGATAATAAAATAAATGAGTACATCTATCCTAGGATTACTCGAATACTCACTCCCGACATAATACCCCAGCTATCCACCGCTTGAGATTTCCTCGCCGAACGCGGATCAGGACACCTGGCGCGCGGCTGCGATTCTGCCAAGGTGGAGCCAGGAGTATAAGCAAAGCAGAGAGTACTGTAGATAGAGCAGCACAGCAGGGAATTGTAGAATAATATTCTATTATATTCAAATATTCTATATTAAATAGAATATTATCCGATCCCTGTAGTTCAATTACCAGTCCACGCATATTACACTGGTCAAGTCATAATGATCGGCTATTATACTAGTAATACGAGGCTATGTACAATACAGTATGGAAGTATCTAGTAGACCAGGGACAGGGTACATCAGTCTTCGTACTAGGATCCCTGAATCCCCTTAAAACAACAATTAAAATAGTAACCAGGACTCCGAGGATATATACAAGGATGGCAATATTAATGCAATTCAGTCATAATCATTCATAATTACACTCGCCAGAACACAAATACCAACACCAACACCAACACCAATATCAATATTAACACCAATTAACCCAGTCCATCCATCACATCATCCATCCCATTTATACAAACCCAGCATCCATATCAACATAAATCAAACCAAGCACAACAAAACAAAACAAATATAAAGATCCACAAAAGTATAACTAAAACTATTTCTCATAAGGCGATTCATTCAATTCATCCCGTCCCCGACCCCTCCTACTTCCACTCCCACTCCCACTCCCACTCCTCCCCGCCATAAAAGCCAAAACCCTCTCCTCCTCTCTCCTCCTCCGGCGACAACGACAACGCCAACGAATACGACGACCCCGTCGGCGAAGGCAAAGGCGACGGAATCCTCTCCCGCTCACGCAAAGACCGCGCAGAGCGCATCCTCGTCAATGTCTGCTTCGTTATCGTCTGGCCTGCAGACGGCGATGCTTTGACTGATGTCCCGAGTCCCGGCGTCGGTGAGGGCGAGGGACTATTGCTTCGGAAGAGGGGGTGGATGTTTGACTCGCCCGGAAAGGAGCCGGTTGGGAAGTTGGGTGTGTGTGGTGAGTCTGGGTGGAGGTATGTTGTTGATGATGATGGGGACATTGGTGAGACTGAGACTGGGGCAGGAGCAGGAGCAGGGCGGACGAGACTATTTAGTGATGCGTGGATGTGTTGTTCACGTCGTAGACTGGGCATGCTCCGGATGCTGGTGCGGAGGAGGGGGCGTGTGTCTTGTTGGAGGGTTGGGGTTGGTGGTTCTGTTGGTGTTTGCGGGGTGATTGTTGAGATTGATGAGGTTGTTTCGAAGGAGTTGGGGCGGGTTTCTTTATTTGTGCTTGTGTTGTCTTTGTATGTATTTGTATCCGAGGTGGTGGTGGTTGTGTTGGTCAACGACTTCTGTAGGCAGAGGGTTCCTCCCGAGAACCGGTGCGAACGTCGAGGATACTTTCGTAGCGAGGAGCGACGAGTGTCGAATTTGAATTCTTCTGGATCACAGATTCGGCTCGGGGGTGTGAGGGTGGCTGGGCTATCTGGGAATGTCTCCAGCTTCATATCTTGGGAGTATGGGTGTGGCCATGTGGAAGTTGTTTGGTTCTTTTGGACTAGGGCCACAATCAGGTAGCCGTAGTATAGACCCTGCGTGAAGACGGAGAAAGACCAGAAGACTGAGCGAGCGATGAAGAGCCCTTGTTGATTTGCTGTTGATCGAAGCTGGTCTCTGGCCATTGTGCCAGTGATGGACGCCGCGGCGATGAGGAGGTATGCACCGGTGAAGTAGAAGACGAATTGTTTCCACTTTGGCCATTGTTGGCCGCTTCGGACGTCTTTGTGTAATATCACGTTCAGTCCGATTAATGCCGCACAGGTGAGGGCCCCCAGGGCAACTGGTGCAAGCCCTGCGGCTGGGGCGTGGGGTACGGACTGCAAGGCTGCAGAGGCGAGGCCGTGGAGGATGGTGACAATCATGGCGGCGAGGAGAGATACCCCTGCCAAGGTATATTGCAGAATTGCAGACATTATGGGCTACAGAAAAGAATGTGGTCAAAGTCACGATATAGAAGAGGATGAAATGAAAGAATGATCAGATCAAAAGTAAAGAATGACTTGATCTGATCCAATCTGATACAACCCCCAGGTGAAGGAAAGTGTCCAGGCGGGTGTCGAGTCCACGCAGAGTCCCCGGGGAATGCTTCATATTTAAAAAAGAATTCTCGCGTGCAACGGGACGGGTCGTAGCTCGCAAAGCATATCGGACCATGCAGGTCAAGCAACATGTCGAATTTACATGAGAGATCAAAGTGACCCATCAACCCGGCATGCTGGTTAGAGTGCGGAGGGACGGGACGGCTGGATGAAGATTCCGCAGAGCCGGAGACCCGTGAGTTGCAATTGTCAAGTCAGATTGGTTGGATCGAACAATGCGTATGGAATTCACGGATCAATCAATTGCTGATTCCAGCGGTGGACCGGGGGAGAACTACTCTGGCACCGGGGAAGTTGAGCCCAGGCCAGCGCCGGCTCTCATAGCGCTGTCCATCAGACCGCTAGTCAGGAAACTATTTAATTGACAGATCATTGTGAGGACTGAGCGAGCCACTGATCTGGCCTTCCTGGTTGTCGGGATCGCGTGGCGATCGATCCGATGCGGATGTGATATGTCGAATCTGCAGTGCCGCAAGGAACAGGATCTGCCAGTGTAGGTGTAGGTTCGGGACAGGAACAGGGATGTAGTAGGGCTCAGCTGAGATTTGTCTATATCTCTTTAATTTCCACATCAGATGGCTCTGGTGTATCAACAAGAATGAACAGCGAGAGTATCAACTATCCCCAGGCGGAGATGCGGTGGATCTACCTGGATCTACGGAGTAATCCGTACCATTGGAGACATCACTTGCAGAGGGGTCTCCGATCCACTTGTATTTGTCAATTGGATTGTTGGCATTGATTATTTCTTCTTCTCGGGCCCGACGGTTCATGCAGGTAAGTCCTGGTGGAGAGTACCGAGTATACCGAGTACTGAGTACGGAGTAATATGTGCACTCCCGGAGTACTCGTACTTTGTCGAGGACCTGCGTGGATCCACAGACCGAATACGAAGTACCTGCCAGGATCAAGGGAGTACCCTGTGTGGCCTGAGCTGGCCAATCAAGTCTTTTTTGTTCTGGGGTATCCGGTAAGGGATTATATGCACGATCGCCTCATGGAAGTAGGAGTAGGAGGGAGTAGAGTAGAAGTAACCTTGGAGGCTCAATATCCACACCTGCAAAGGTCAGTCAGGTAACGTGCATGTCAAAGAAAGAAGATAATTTATAAAATTGCAGTCTAAATAAAGATGAATCTCTGAATTGATGCCAGCTATCAAATATGTTCTAATATAAGTGGTAGTCAACCCTTCTGCTGTGCCTGTGTGGGCGGTGAGTTCCTCGCCTGAGGCATCTCGGCTGCTTCTCCATCGTCGTCACTCTCCAGCGCCCCTCTTGACCTTGACTTTTCGGGAACTGCCCTCTTCTCTATATTTCCTCTCCTACTCTCCCCCTTTCCCTCCATCATCCCTCCAGTTCCCGACAAGATGAAGCTCACCTTCAAGGTCCGTCTTTCTTTCTGCCTCCCCCATCTAATCTGCCCATGCTGACCTTGCCCCTCCATACAGGACCTGAAGCAGGAGAAGTTCGTGATCGAGGTCGAGCCCTCTGAGACCGTATGTATTTCCATACCTTTTGCCAACGAGATTCGCCTATTGCACCCGTGCAGTCTTCAGCTGTAATCTCACAGCTCATCCCAGCTCCGTGCTGACCATATTTCTAGGTCCGCGAAGTCAAGCAGAAGATCGCTCAAGAAAAAGGCGAATATGAAGCAGAGCGGATGAAGGTTATTTATTCGGGTATGTCGTTTCGAAATGGTTCATCGTCTGTCTACGTGGCAGGCTATTGATGCAAAGCTCTTTCAACGTAGAGCTGTTGATGAGTCCGGAGCTGACAACCTTGTAGGCAAGATCCTCCAGGATGACAAGACCGTCGAATCGTATAGCATCCAAGAGAAGGATTTCCTAGTGTGCTTGCCTTCAAAGGTATGATGATTCTCAGTTATCCCAAGCTTCGCCCCGTTACTTCCAGGTCTAATTCGTCTTTGTCCACAGGGTCCCAAGCCCGCTGCCTCCTCCGCTGCCTCCCAGGCACCCGCCACTCCTGCTCCCAGAGCTCCCGTTGCTACCCCTGCTGCGCCCGCCCCCGCTGCTCCTGCACCTGCTAGCTCGACTCCTGCTGTTCCTGCGACTCCCTCGCCAGCCGGCGCTGGTGCTGGTGCTGGTGCCGGTGCCGGTGCCGGTGCCGGTGCTCAGGGTGGCCCCGCCTTCAATGATCCCTCCGCGTTGACTATGGGCTCTGCGGCCGAGGGTGCCGTCACTCAAATGGAGGCAATGGGATTTGCCAGAAGCGATATCGATCGGGCCATGCGGGCCGCATTCTTCAACCCTGACCGTGCTGTCGATTATCTTTTGAACGTGAGTCTTGCAAGCAAGTTGCGGCAGCGTTGACCTCCCACTTTTCACACAACCGCTAATACGAACGTTCTCTTTCTAGGGCATCCCCCAGGAAGTCCAACAGGAACAACAGCAACGTCAACAAGAGCAACAAGAGGAGAGCGCCGCTCCAGCCCCTGCCCCCTCTGCCGAAGACGCTGCTGCCGCCGCCGCTCTGGGTGGCGACGAGGGTTTCAACATGTTCGAGGCTGCGGCTCAGGCTGGCGATGGCAGTGGTCGTGGTGGTGCTCGGTCCGGAGGCCAAGCTGGTGGCGAGTCCCTTGCAAACCTGGATTTCCTCCGTCAAAACCCCCATTTCCAGCAACTGCGCCAACTCGTGCAGCAGCAGCCGCACATGCTCGAGCCCATCCTGCAGCAAGTTGCGGCCGGAAACCCTCAGATTGCCCAGATCATTGGTCAGAACTCCGAACAGTTTCTCCAGCTATTGAGTGAGGAGGGAGATGAGGAGGATGCGGCCCTGCCGCCGGGTACACAAGCCATCTCCGTTACGGAGGAGGAGAGGGATGCCATTGAGAGGGTAAGTCGAGTCGGAAGAGAGATAGAGAATGCTCTGTCGCTGTTTATATGTACTAACCTGACCGCCCATTCTAGCTCTGCCGTCTCGGTTTCCCCCGCGACTCCGTCATCCAGGCTTACTTCGCCTGTGACAAGAACGAAGAGTTGGCAGCGAACTTCCTCTTCGACCAACCCGACGAGGACGAAGAATAAGCGATTGAGCGAAATCGAGTCGCATCGTATCGTATCGTTCCGCACCACATCGCACCGCACCGCACCGAATCGAATCGAACCCCGTGATTCTCCTTCCAACCTCTCGTCTCATTTCCTTTGCTCTTTTTACGTTCTGATGAATACCAAGCATGCCTGTTGATTTTCCATATTTGGCAGAGCTCCGCTCCTCCCTCCTATCCTCCTATCCTATCCTATTCTATCCAATCTCATTTCCTTCCTCTTTTCCTTTCCTTTTCCCTTCCCTTCATCCCCCTCTATTCTATTTGGTTCGCCCGAGGATCGAATAGATTCGACTCGACTCGACTCGACTCGAATCCATTTGCTAGCTAGGCTTGGACTTGTATCTTGTCTAGTCTGGTCTGGTCTGGTCTAGTTTAGGCTGGTCTGAATTTGATTCGATCTGATCTGATCTGGACTAGACCAGTGAGGAAACAGATCCGATCCAGAAACGACTTTCATGTATTTAACCTCTAATGGGCAAAATGGGACGTTTTCGCAGAATGAATTCCTCCATGGATTAGATTAGATTAGATGGTGTTAGTCAAGGTACACATGCTGTATCGTGCTCGGGCTACTACCACCATTAGTAGGACACGGAGTAGCAGCAGCAGTAGGGTAGTTATTCAGATTCTTATCATGATATGTTTGTCCTATGCTTAAGATCCTCAGTATGGTATCCAGAGCCCCCTTCAAGTTGGACTGGACCTCATTATAGGCCTAAAAATAGTAACTATACTAGTAGTAGTGACCGCCTGAAGCTAACTGCATTTAACTAGCAACTGCGACTGCCTCGCGACTGCGACTATCGCAAACCTTTATCAGATCCTATACCGAGTCCTCAATCTGGGCAGCATATATTAGATACTAATATTTTCGCACGTACTGCGACCAGCAAGAAAGACTGGGACTGGATAACCATGGAACTGTTTAAAACGATGCAGGGGTCCAGCGCCGGGACTCGAGCAAACTTGCTTGAAACTGACAAAGAAAGGCCAAGAGGATTATAACAAAGAAGACCGTGACGGAGCTAGTTTTGAGTTTCGTCCTGGAGGGCTGAGACTGTGGCTACGAGTGGACCTATAGACATTGTAGTTTACATCAGGAATGTCCGAGTCGAGGAACTAAACCTAGAACTTAAACTAGAAGGAAGGAAGAATCTATCAATGATTGGAGAAATGAGTAGCTAGCCATCATGATCTACTATATTGTACACGTACAGTAAAGCATAGCACGCATAGCACAGCCACAGCCAGAAACAGCACACGGCAGAAGGGATGGGATGGGAGGGTTGGAAGGGGGAAGAAGAGGAGACAGAGCAAGAGATTTATTTCAGATTTCCACGACCGACCAGTCATCGATCTGGCAGGGAGTCAAGCAAAGGAAAACAAAGAATGAAAAGAAATTAAAGAAAAAGAAGAAGAAAAGAACGACCGCTAACCGAAACCGAACTCCGTTGAGACAAAGAGGGCGCACATACCGGGCCACAGCACGGCATAATACAGCATGGCATAGCACAGTGTAGCCCAGCTCAGCCCAGCACAGGCCTAGCTAGCGCCCAATCCGGAAGAGGCGGGGATTCGATCCAAGATATTTGAGCGAAACATGAGGGTCATAACGTAATGTTTTGGAAGATTTAGCGGCTGTAAGAGGGAGAAAGAGACGTTAGCAGGGTTCACAGCGTGTGCTGGATGAAAGAAAGGGAAAAGTCAAACTCACTCCTCGGCCCACTCGTTCTCGCGGCGAATCTGATCCTCCTCCTCAGGAGTGAAATCGTTCTGAATGTTGAAAGTCTTGCGGATTTCCTCGGGAGACTTGCCCTTGATCATATTAGCGACAGTCTTGCAGCCGACGTCCAGCAGAGCCTTGATATCGAGGTAATTGGCAGCCTGAAGAGAAGAAGAAGAAAAATGGTTAGTGAATGGTTGGGTTGGGTTGATTTTCGCTTTCGCTTTCACTTTCGCCGCGGGCGCGGTAGCGGTAGCAACCAAACAAGCGTCCGAGTTACTCACCAGAATGATCTCGAAAAGCATCTCCTGGTCAACCTGCATGAACTTCTGGTCCCATTCTTCGATATCGCTGGTCTTGCGGCGGTTGTCGTCCTCGTCACCGGCGGTGGGGGGGGTCGTTCTTGTGGTGCTCGCACCACTCGATGACCTTGCGGAGGACGGCCTCGTTGACCTGCGGGGTGGGGTATTGGTGTTAGCTTAGCTCTGCGACCGTGTCTCATATGCGCTGGGGCGCTGTGTTGTGCTTTGGTCTGTGCCAGTTTTGTTTCGCGGAGTTGACAGGAGCTTTTGGATGGCATGTAAGTAACTTACGTTGGGAATGGGGATGGCCTCGCCGGAGTCACCGAGATCCTCGAGCATGTTCTTGATCAGGACGGATCGCTCAGCGACGGTGCGCTCTGTAGAGGGGGTTAGTTGGTGGCGCGATCAATGGGAGATGGGATTTTGTACGTACCGACGGTGACATCGACACCATCGGAGCTGGTGAGGGTGATTTGGGGGGTGGCCATTGTGAAAGTGGTGATGGTGGAGTGTGGCGGAGAGATGGGTTTCAGTGACGTCTGGAGTGAGAGTTAGATTTGCGGAATGGTGATAGGTGGGAGATGTAGGTGGTCGCTGGTAGCTGCAGATATGAGGGCGAAACTGACTTTGGGGTGTTTGAGGCTGGGTGAGTTGATGAGCAGTTGAGAGAGAGAGAAGAGGAAGAGGAAGTCGGAGGTTGAAAACGGAGGGGCGCCTTTTGTTTTAGTCCTCCGCGGCTTCTTTGAGGGGCGGCCCCCACGGTTGGACCAGGCTGTGACTGGAACTAGGTAACTGTTAGGCTGTTTTAGGCGGAAGTCTTTGTCCAGGTATTCGATATTCGAGTTACTCTACAAAGATACAAAGATTCAAAGAATAGAACCTTAGGAAGATTCCATTTTATTCTAAAGGTGTGACTTGAACGGCATAGTTAGTACTGGGTGGTAGTAGTTACTACTAATACTTTACTTAGAACACAGCAATTTATGTTTCAGGGTATGACTATAATGATTATTACTATGTCATTATACTGATATTCATGACAGAATAATCAAATCTACCGTTTATCAGATAAGTAATGCTGAAAGTTCGTAGAATATACAGCTCTACTACTTGAGAGTAAACTATGGCTGCTATACCCAATCACACGTGACCTATATGTACTCATACTCGCAGCATCAGAATGACTCTTCAATCCCTACTCAACACCCTTCTCATCTCAGACATTTTTCTATTTTCCCAAGTGTTCAGCGTGTTTTATCACGTAGCTCCTCAAACCTACACCAGTCATCACTAACATCACTAACATCACCAACACCACTAACATCACTAACATCACTAACACCACTCCTTGTCTTACCCCACGAGTGAGGATTGCAGATTATTGAATCCTCCAAGGCCATCTTACTCAAATCTTCTTAGTCCCTGGCCCCTCTGAACAAAATGGGTTCGATGAATGACTCACTCGAGAAGTCACTCGCAAAGTCCCCCCGCAAAGTCCCCTGCCAAAGTCCTCGCCAAATCTCCCACCATATCTCCCACCGAAGCTCCCGCCAAAAGTTCCAGTACCACTACAGTTAGATGATCCCCAGATCTACCAAAAAACCCATGTCCCTGATACTAATATTATCTTAGAATTTCAACAATCCTCCAGGATGGACAGATCGTGATATTCATATCGACTGGGGTGATACTGGAATCGGTCCAGACCTCACATCTACTTATGGTCTTGGTCCAGGAAAACCGATCTTGGAGCATATTGATGGATTGACACAAGTCTTTCAAGCTGGAAATAAATTCTATCTCTGGGTTATGACGGTTGATGATGTCTACGAGACAGATTGTCGGGATATACATGATCTCTATGATCGTCTATGGCGGGGAGGAATGAAGACCATCGAGACACGGCGCCTGGAGGAACCTGACGACCCTGAGTGTTAGGATGAGCTTCACAGCTTTGCGCGTTAGGAGGAACTTCACCCCTTTGAGCGTTAGGAAAAAACTTACTCCTTTGCGTGTTCAGAGAAACTTCACGGCTTTATGCGTTGGGTTAAATCAAAATACTAATAGCTACATTGCTAATTTTTATCTCGAGGTACCCCGTCACAATTATATTATTTGTACTGATAATTAGAGTACCTTAGAGTATGCTACTGGTTCCTACTGGTCCCTACAGGTTTATACTGGTTTATACTGGTCTACTACTGGTCTACTACTAGTAGGGAGTGGACGGGGGAGGTGTAAACTATCAAGTGCGGCTGATATCATCCACATCCACTTCCCACTTCCCCCCTTGTCCAACATTTTCAACTTGTCAACTTTTCCCTTCTCACTTTTCACTACTTTTCCCTTTCACCTTGATCTCCTCCCGTCTCTTTCTCCTTCTCTTCCTCCATTTCACTCCCCTTCGACATGTCCATATGAATCATGTGGAGACGAACCTACCTGCTCTTACTGCTCATCCGTGTTTACTTCGCCCTGTCGCCAAGCTACATCCACCCCATGAGCATTTCCAGGGTCCAGAGGTCTTTGCAGGTATGATTCCACCCCCTCTCCCCCCACCATCGCCTTCCCCTGATGTAATCATCGCTGCGACGCGTTGAACGCACCAATCGACACGCGCAAAGGCGCAGGATTACTTGTCACGGCGGTCGCATCGCGTCGCATCCCATTTCGTCACTGCGCATCCCATCGCAATCGCATCACCACACACCAAACCACCACAATGTGATTCAAGCAACGCGCTAACTCCCAGCTCCACCTCTATAGGCCGCGTCCTAGCATATCCCTCGCAGTTACCATGGGAATTCACCAGTTCCCTCCCCATCCGCAGCGTCTTCCCGCTATGGCCCATTTACGAGGTGCCCATGAGCCTACTCAAATGGTTCTACTCGGAGATCGGATCGGGGAGCCCTCCGCCACAGTTGGTCTATTATGCGCTGCGCGCCGGAATGTTCCTGCTCAGTTTTGTGCTGGAAGACTGGGCGATCTATGAGTTGGTACCTTCGCCGCGTCACCGGCGCGCGACGGTCGTGCTGGTTGCCTCATCATATGTCACCTGGACATATCAGACGCACACCTTCTCCAACTCCCTCGAGACTCTGTTGGTAGCCTGGGGGCTGGTTCTGATTCGGCGCATCGTCGAGAATAAGGTTCGTGCCGTCTGCTCTCTACATTCTATCCCAGTGTTGCTACTCTGCGCGATGGGTTGCGCTTGGCTGCGCTGGGCCGCGCCGTGTTATACGTACTGACCAACTCCAGCAACGCTCCTCCTACTTCTCCTACGCCGTCTTCTCCTTCATCGCGGTGGTCGGTGTCTTCAACCGTATCACTTTCCCAGCTTTCCTCCTATTCCCAGGTCTCCAATTACTGCCATACTTCCAACGCAAGTCAGTATTCCACGCCAAATCCATCTCACCACCCCCCACCATCCCACTCTAACACCACCCAGGCCCGCATCACTAGCAGCAATTATCGGCTTCGGACTCCTCTTCTCCTTGACAGCAATCTACATAGACACAAGCTTCTACCGACCCACCGCATCCATCCTCTCCATCATCCGCGACCCCATAATAACACCACTAAACAACATCCTCTACAACACCGACAAGAGCAACCTCGCAATCCATGGCCTCCACCCACACCACCAACACTTCCTCGCAAACTTAACCCAGCTCCTTGGCCCAGCATACATAGTCATGATCCTCTCCCTCTTCAGCCGACCAATCGTCCCCTTCGCAATGCGAAACGCCCGCGCTCTCTCAGCCGTCAGCGCAACATTCATCCTCTCAATCTTCCCTCACCAAGAGCCACGCTTCCTCCTCCCCTGCGTACCTTTACTCCTAAGCTGCGTGCGCATGCACCGCAACCGCCTATTCCCTCGCAACATGGATTATCTTCAACGCAGCCATGGGCTTTCTAATGGGTGTTTACCACCAAGGCGGAATCGTTCCGGCCCAGTTAGCTATGCGCGATATCATAAACACTAACACCGCTGCGCAGGGTATTAAATCTGCGCCCGATGCTACGGTCTTTTGGTGGAAAACTTACTCCCCGCCGCTGTGGCTTCTGGGCGCGGAGGAAGAAGAAATACATGCAAATGCGGATGCAAGCTCATACGCAAGCGCAGATACAGCGCTAAACAAAACAATCTCAATCTCAACATTCGACTTAATGGGCATCCCAGGGTCCGAAATGATAACCCGTCTCGACTCATCAGTCCCATCGTGTGGATCTTCTTCCCCGGTTTATCTGGTTGCGCCTATATCAGCCACATTCCTCGACAGCTACATCCCAGACTCGACCGAAACCGAACGGGCCGCGAATCTCCAACTCTACCGCCTCTGGTCATACCGTCAACACCTTAATCTTGACGATATGGATTTCGGTGAGGACGGGGTTAAAGATACGCTTGCGAGGATTGTTGGGAGGAGGGGGTTGGGTGTTTGGTCTGTTAGAAGGAGGTGTAAATAAAATTCTTTTCTTTCTGCTTGCCTTGCCTTGCCTTGCCTTGCCTTGCCTTGCCTTGCCTTGCATTTTCGCACATTCTCGGATCTTGTCTTGTCTTGTCTTCCTGGATGGAGTGGCTGGGCTGGACTGGAAAGATATCCCATCGCATTACATACATACATTCTTGTTTTAATTCGGTTCCTTCAGGTTTTCCTTGCAAGGGCTCATCTGATGTAATTTAATTCAATTTACCGGTCCGCTCTGGGTGATGATGCCAGTGGATCTTGGAAATATTTTCTCTTTTATTGAGGTTGAGGGTAAGGTTTGAGTTAGGTTCTTGTTTTTGTATATATCTTGCTACTCCGTAGTAGAGTGGGCCGAACGCGAAAACTTGATCAGCGTGTAAATAATTATATATCGGGTTATGAACTTGGATTCAGTCACTAAATGATAACTCTAATTTTCAAGTTAGTACTACCTAGGTAGTAGTTTGTCGGTGCCAGTGACCAGAAGCATGACCTGTTCAGGTGAACCGGCTAAGAATGCTCACGCGTATCGGTCCGTGACCATGACCGATATATACTATCCGCCCGCGACTACCGCCACGGCCTAGATTCGATATGACCTTCGGGGCCGTATTAATAGAGATGGATCTTCATGCCTACGACCTCGGGAGTCGGACCATTTCAACTTGAAGTTCACCTGGGCAATTTGGAACTTGAACTTGAATACAAGGGGGGGGGGGGGAAATGCGGTCTACCACTACACTTCACCCGGTCCCGGGGTATGCCCAGTGTACTACCATTTGACAAGCAGGCTAGCATAGTACCTAAAAGATCGGATCCAATCCATCCACCTTCAAGTTACTTCTAGATACTGACAGGCACTGGCACCGAGGCAGCTCCGGGGCTATCTAAATATCCGAGTCCCTGAAGCTTCAAGTTGGAACTACGCAGTAGAGCAGAATGATTATGAAGTAGAGCAGAATGATTATGAAGCTCAGTTCAAATCAGTTCAATACGGTACGAAAGAGATTCAAAGCCATCAAGAAAGTGAGACATCAATTGATTCCATCATTTTTGTAATAAGAAAAAACCCGCCCGCCGGAACCATTTCACCGGACGGCCGGGTACCCGAAACCATCCATCAACATCAACATCAGGGGGGTGTGAGCATCACCGCACTGCTGCGACGCTTTCAATTGTCGTATCGGATTGGGTCATGGTTGTCATTGTAAAATATTGAACCCGATAATTGCACATGGACGTAGTTCGAGACTATCGCAATCCAAGTGTGTAATTTAGTTGATGGCGGTTGAGGGGCCGACACGTCGAATTCTCGAATTCGAAAAACAAAACAAGTTATCGAGTACAGGGCATCGTATCGGTGTCGTGATTGAGGCGTGGTCGGGTATATCCACTCCGGTCCAAGTCGTAACCCGAACTTAAACGTTCAGGCAGGACTTACGCCAGTGACGGCGCTTGGCGTTGTATCTGGTACTTTGTTAGTTTTGACTTGGGGGTGGTGTGTGGATATTCATGTCTGCTCTGCTTTGCTTCAATTTCGTCTGTTCTGTTCTGGTCCGTTCCGTTCTGTTCGGTCATGTCATGGCGGGTTTGTTATGGCGAAATGGTGGGAGGCGATAATGGAGAGTTGTTGTCGATGATTCGGGGATCGGTATTCCTTCTTTTTCTCTTCTTTCCTCCTCGCTGAATAGTCGTATGTTTTTCGACACCGGGACATTTGAACTTGGAACGGGAACGGAACTCGAACGAAACGAAAACTGAAGCTGAGCTGAGCGAATAAACAGGATCGCGCGTACCTGATGGTGTTGCCAGTGCGCAGGCGAATCCACTGAGGGATGGGGCGGTTCTGGCGCTGAGCCTTAGCAAGCTTTTGCTTGGTGCGGAAGGTCTTGTGGCTCTATTGGTGCGAAAAAGAAAGGGTTAGTTATCGATCGGTCAAAAATTCGAGGCGATGGCGAAGGGACGGTGGCGAGAAGGAAAAGATCAAGGGTTCAGGTAGGACATGTCGTATAGCTGGGTGGTTTTACTGACCGGCATCTTGAAGGCTTGAACGCGATGAGCTGGATGAGTTGGGCAAGATTCCTCGAGTGCGGATGATTTGTGTGCGGCAGGGCTTGGCCAAGCCCTTCGCTTGTGCGTCAGGTGACTTGTTGGTTATGTCATGTGGATGATGTAAGCAGGATGTGGTCTGGGCGGTGGTGGGAGGCAGTATGTACTTGCCACGTGACAATGACCGTGACCGTGAGGAGCCTCCATATGTACATATCGTACATGCTTCACAATGCGAGACCGGAACACAATCTATCCGGTGGAAATGACTCCTATCTGACCCAGGATGAGTAGATTAGCCTTCAGGCCACCCACAACGGAGACTGTAAGCAACTGATCCTTCACCGCATACTACAGGCTACGAGGACGGAGTCGGAGTCGGACTCAATGCAGGTTGAATCCTTCTGAATGCAAGCATGGGAGGCAAAACCTGATGGAATCCGATCCGAGTCAATGTCAACGCGAACACGAGTCAGATACGACAGATGACGGAGATTGAGTCACCGACCCCCGATCCCCGATCCTAAACGACAACGGGGTGAATCTCTGATGTTCCATTCGGCAAGCACTGCGATCCACCAGCTCGATCCACCAATCACAACCAGATCAAAGCGATCTGTGCCGGCTGTGTCAGGTGGGTTCATTGGAAGGGGAAGTCTTGGACAGCTGTTTGCCTGGGAACAGCAGGATCTGCGTATTCGCATATCTACATTTCGTGCAGACTCCGAACTCCGGGTCCGTAGATGCAGTGCAAAGCAAAGCATACCTAATTCGTACATAAAACGGTGGTGGTCCGAGTTAGGGTTAGGCTTGAGCATTGGCACACAGCTAGGCGATAGCATTATACACACACAGCGACGTCTCTTATATGACTGCCTTAGATATATGGGGTACTCCAGGCCACATAATACTTATATGGTCCTAGTAACGCGGACCTGCTAGCCGCATTCAGGCATCGCTGGATACCGAAAGAGGCGAGTTCCAGCGGCTCCCAGCGACTTGAGATGACTCCACGGACGCGCGGGTGCGCGGACGCGTGGGCCCGAGAGGCAGGACCAAGAATGAAGCAGTTCTCATTCTCGGATCAGGACGAAAATTCGGTCGGACTGTGCGGAGGAGATAGACGGTCGTACAGTGTAGTAATATTGCGGGCACAATAAAATGTTACGGGGTATACGGAATATATTATCAGTTCAAGTTTACAGGAGGGTTCTATGCCATTCGCTTATAATCATATTCTAACCCTGGTACATATCCTTATCCTAGTCCTACAAATAGCCTAGTGTAGACACAAGGAATAATCTAATATTATTATGCAAAACCGGAGAGTGGCCTCTCCGGCCCACCGAGGACCCACCACTAGTTAGCACTCCGTACGAGTTATTCCCCCATTTCTTTTGAATACGCAAAATCTAGACTCTTTGCTATCCTTTATCTTTATATATTCTGCTAGCCCGAGCTCGTGCCCATTTACGAGTCCCTCCCATTCTTCTTCCATTCTTTCAGTCTTCCTGCTCCTTCTCTTCTTCCATTTATATCTACTCTCTCCCTTGCGCCACACTCCAACTTCAACTTCTTTTCAACCTACCACCGTCTACTATCAATCCGACACACAGAATTCCCTGACCCCTTACACACCCCTGCGCCAATCTGTTCCAACTGCGCTCTAACCTGCACCACCATCTTGCCAACGTGCCCTGCCAACCTCGTGTTCGGCTCCTGAATGGACTAGCTACTAGCTCCACCAGAGAAAAAAAATAGTGGGCCTCGCAAATAACTAGTTGCTGCCATGCAACAACCAGAGGAGGGCGTGGCCGCCGTCGAAAAGGTCCCCAGTCAAGTCATTCCACCAGACTCGACCAACTTGGAGAAACAACCACTTGAAGATGCTGCTTCGACCACCTCCACCTCAAAGAATGGCTCCAAAAACGGTTCAAATGGCTCCAAGGATTCTGCCGCCCCCGCAGATGACGAGGATGCGCTCTTCGCCCACCTCCCACCACATGAGCAAGAAATCCTCAAATTACAACTCCATGCGCCTCCAGTGACGGTCTCCTGGTTTGGTCTGTACCGATATGCATCGCGCAACGATCTACTGATCCTACTCGTCAGCGGTCTCTGCGCCATTGTCGCCGGTGCCGCCATGCCTCTCTTCACCATCCTCTTCGGCGCATTGGCTACTGCTTTCCAGCAGATTAGTCTGGCCAACAACGGCATCGGCAATTACACTTATGATGAATTCTATCACGAACTCACCAAGAACGTCCTTTATTTCGTATACCTCGGTATCGCCGAGTTCGTCACCGTTTACATCAGCACTATCGGTTTCATCTATACCGGCGAACACATCACCCAGAAAATCCGCGAACACTACCTCGAGGCCATCTTGCGCCAGAATATCGCTTACTTTGATAAGCTTGGCGCTGGCGAGGTCACTACTCGCATCACGGCTGATACCAATCTCATCCAGGACGGTGTCTCTGAAAAGGTCGGCCTCACCCTAACCGCTCTCGCGACCTTTGTCACGGCCTTTATCGTGGCTTATATCAAATATGCTCGTCTCGCGGGTATCTGTACCTCGACTATCATCGCCTTGGTGATGGTTATGGGTGGAGGATCCCGTTTCATCGTCAAGTATAGCAAACTCTCGCTGGAAAGCTACGGTGCTGGCGGTACCGTCGCGGAAGAAGTCATCAGTTCAATTCGCAACGCGACGGCTTTTGGTACTCAGGATAAACTGGCCAAGCAGTACGAGGTGCACCTGCGCGTTGCGGAACGCTGGGGTACGCGCCTGCAAATGGCGCTTGGCGTCATGGTCGGCGCCATGTTCGGTATCATGTTCCTCAACTACGGTCTCGGTTTCTGGATGGGATCGCGCTATCTCGTTGCCGGTGACGTGAATGTCGGCCAGGTTCTTACTATTCTGATGGCCATCTTGATTGGTTCTTTCAGTTTGGGCAATGTCGCTCCCAACGCTCAAGCTTTCACTAATGGTGTCGCGGCTGCGACGAAGATCTTCGGTACTATTGACCGTACCTCGCCTCTGGATCCTACAAGCGATGAGGGAACGACTCTCGATCACGTCGATGGTGATATTGAGTTCCGCCACGTTAAGCACATCTACCCCTCCCGCCCTGAGGTGACTGTCATGCAAGATGTTTCTCTGAAGATCCCCGCCGGTAAGACCACTGCGCTGGTCGGTCCCTCTGGTTCGGGAAAGAGTACCATTGTCGGCCTTGTGGAGCGCTTCTACCTCCCCGTTGGCGGTAATGTCTATCTTGACGGCCATGATATTCAAGAATTGAATTTGCGTTGGTTGCGTCAGCAGATCTCGCTGGTCAGCCAAGAGCCTATTCTCTTTGGTACGACTATCTACGAGAACATTCGCCATGGTCTCATTGGAACTCGTTTCGAGAATGAATCCGAGGAAAAGATTCAGAACCTTATTGAAGATGCTGCGAAGATGGCTAATGCCCACGACTTCGTCATGGCTCTGCCCGAGGGATATGAGACTAATGTTGGTCAACGCGGTTTCTTGCTCTCTGGTGGTCAGAAACAGCGTATTGCTATTGCCCGTGCTGTTGTTTCCGACCCGAAGATCCTGCTGCTGGACGAGGCGACTTCCGCCCTGGATACCAAGTCTGAAGGTGTAGTTCAAGCAGCTCTTGACCGCGCTGCTGAAGGCCGCACCACCATCGTCATTGCCCACCGCTTGTCTACCATCAAGACCGCGCATAACATTGTTGTCTTCGTCAATGGATCCATCGTCGAGCAGGGAACTCACGACGACCTCCTGGAATTGGATGGCCCATACTTCAAGCTCGTCGAGGCGCAACGCATCAACGAAGAGAAAGAAGCCGACGCACTGGCCGACGCGGAGGAAGACGAAGACTCTGACGAACCCTACGAGAAACAAGAAATCGCCCGCATCAAGTCCTACGCCAGCGCATCATCCAGCGGCAAGACAAAGGACGAAGTGCAACCGACGAAAACCCTCACCAACGAAAACTCCATCCAACGCGCCGACACCCGCAAATCCGTATCCAGCATGGTCCTCGCCAAAACCGGCACCGAGGGTGTAGGAAAATACTCACTGTGGACCTTGATCAAATTCATCGCCTCCTTCAACAGAGCCGAATGGAAATTCCTCGTCGTCGGCCTTTTCTTCTCCATCCTCGGTGGCGGCGGTCAACCAACCCAAGCCTTCCTCTACGCCAAAGCCATCACCGCTCTTTCCAAGGGCCCAAGCGAATACGCCGAACTACGCAAGGAAGCAAACTTCTGGTCTCTAATGTTCTTCGTCGTCGGCATCGCGCAATTCATCACTCTATCCATCCACGGCGTCGCCTTCGCATACTGCTCCGAGCGCCTCATCTGCAAAGCCCGCTCAAAGGCCTTCCGCATCATGCTCCGCCAAGACATCAATTTCTTTGACAAAGAAGAGAATTCCACCGGCGCCTTGACTTCCTTCCTCTCAACCGAAACGAAACACCTATCCGGTATCAGCGGAACGACTCTCGGAACGATCCTAATGACCTCCACAACCCTCATCGCCGCAATCGTCATCTCCCTCTCCTTCGGCTGGAAACTAGCCCTAGTCTGTATCTCCGTCGTCCCCGTCCTACTAGCCTGCGGTTTCTACCGCTTCTACATGTTGGCCGCATTCCAGCAACGCTCAAAAACAGCATACGAAGGTTCAGCCAGCTACGCCTGTGAAGCCACATCCGCCATCCGAACCGTCGCATCGCTAACGCGCGAATCGGACGTATGGTCCATTTACCACGGTCAACTCGACGCCCAGGGCCGCGCTAGTCTAATTTCCATCTTCAAGTCTTCCCTTCTCTACGCCGCTTCCCAGGCATTGGTCTTCTTCTGTGTCGCGCTGGGCTTCTGGTACGGCGGCTCATTGCTGGGGAAGGGCCAATACACAACATTCCAATTCTTCGTCTGTTTCAGCGAAATTCTTTTCGGCGCTCAGTCTGCTGGAACGGTATTCAGTTTCTCGCCTGATATGGGTAAAGCGAAGAATGCGGCGTACGAGTTTCGAAAACTCTTCGACCGGAGACCTGTTATTGATACATGGTCCGAAGAAGGCGAGACACTTTCGAAATGCGATGGAACGATTGAATTCCGCGATGTTCATTTCAGATACCCGACTCGGCCGGAACAACCTGTGTTGCGGGGACTGAATTTGACTGTTTCGCCTGGTCAATATATTGCTCTTGTTGGACCAAGTGGTTGTGGAAAGAGTACGACTATTGCGCTATTGGAACGATTCTACGATGCGCTCTCCGGAGGCATTTTCGTTGATGGAAAGAACATCGCTGATCTTAATGTTAATTCTTACCGGGAACATTTGGCGCTTGTTTCGCAGGAACCGACGCTTTATCAGGGCTCTATCAAGGATAACATTCTCCTTGGTATTGAGGCTGATGATGTTGAGGAGGAATTACTCATTAAGGCTTGCAAGGATGCGAATATTTATGACTTTATCATGTCTCTTCCGTGAGTCCCCCCCCCCAAAATCCTCTCGCTGCGCAGTGCAATATCTAACCAACCCCCTCAGTGACGGCTTCGCAACAATAGTCGGAAGCAAAGGCGGAATGTTATCAGGAGGTCAAAAGCAACGCGTAGCAATCGCCCGCGCACTCCTCCGAAACCCGAAAATTCTCCTGCTGGACGAAGCGACCTCAGCACTGGACTCCGAGTCCGAGAAGGTCGTTCAGGCTGCGCTGGATGCGGCGGCGAAGGGTCGGACGACGATTGCGGTTGCGCATCGACTTAGTACGATTCAGAAGGCGGATATTATTTATGTCTTTGATCAGGGACGTATTGTTGAGAGTGGAACGCATTCAGAATTGTTGAGGAATAAGGGGAGGTATTATGAGTTGGTTAATCTTCAGAGTTTGGGGAAGACTCATTGAGGTTGTTGAGAAGATTTCTAATTCCTAATTCCTTTCCGAGTTGCTTTCGCTTCGCTTTTGATTCCCTTCTTGCGCTCTGTGAGACTCTTTTGGTTTCGTCTGATTGGGCTACTTTACCCAGACTTGACTGACTCCGACTCTCAGCCCCCTTTCATTTCTTGTTATCTGTTTCATTTTACATATCTCCATCTCTTTGTACTTAATTACACCCTCTCACCCCTCATTCCTCACTTATCCCATCTCTACGATAGCTGGGTCCTCCTCTCATAGATCTGCACGGAGCTGGCGGCGTCGAAAATATCGAATTAATTTTAATATCATTTCAAAACATCATGATCAATATTGGTACTAGTAGGCATTGAAAATACATTTTAAACAGAAACCATAATTCATTCATACTGTTACGAGTACTAGTGTTGCAAAAAGAAAGCAGAAACTTTGCCAATAGCAATATCAACAATACCCAAACAACAAATCACGAAAGTTGACAATTTAGTTACACGGAACCTTGGAATCCTACTATTACCCAATTGGAACCTAACTAAACTAAACTAAACTAATACCCACCACGCTGATCCCGAGCCATATGTTGCTGCTGCTGAACCGGACGATCGGCATCGGCATTATACTTCTGGCGCGGAGTCGTATACTCTCCTTGTCCTTGTCCTTGTCCATGCCCCTGTCCATATCCTTGTGCTGGTCCTTTTCCTTGAAGATCCTGCTGCGCACCCATGCCCGCACCCATGCCCATGTTCATATTACTACTACCACCAGCTGCAGCATTACCGCCAAAACCGGAATTGTCGAGAGGCTGAGCGGTATTGGCAGTGTTCAAGTTCTGAGCCATCGGGTCGCCAGCACCGGCCCCTCCCGCGGCTGTTGTTGTGCAGGGAGCGACATGGCTAGTAGCTTTATGGGACTTATTTTCCTGGGTTGAGGTGCTGAAGTTTTCTTCTTGGTCACCCATCTGCTGGCCAAGGTTGGGATCGAAGCCGGGCTGCTGCTGGGAACGATGTTCCTGGGTGGATTTGTTGTAATTGTCTTCGGTTGAGGAATGGCTGTCCATGCCTTGGCCTTGGCCCAGGCCTTGGGTAAGAGGTTGCTGTTGTTGTTGCTGCTGAGCTGGCATGTTGCCCTGATTCATGCCCCGGCCCTGGTTAAAACCTTGCTGCTGTTGAGCTGGCATGTTGCCCATGTTGCCGGTGGGTCTCTGGGTGCCGATTGGGGCTTGATTGGGATTAGCACGGTGGTCTGGGGTGGTTGTAACTTGAGTTAGCTGGGTTGTTTCAATGCTTTGCTTTCGTACTTGCTATGCTGCTTCATATAAAAGTCCACAGCTACTACAAGTCCTAGAGCAAGGTGATGTGTAGGCAGAGAGAGGATCAAAATAACATACCTAAATCACTATCAACGCGCGGGTCCAGTTTATTGGCAGTCTTCGAGCTGTGAGGACCGGCGTTTATGTCGGCGGAACTAGCACTCGAGGAAGTATCTCCAGGCATCGAGGAGGAAGGGTTGCGATTGTAGGAACTGGGCTGGCTCTCTGTTGTGGTACTCGTTGGATAGTTTGTGTACTCATTGTCTGCTTATTCCATGGGTTGAGTATATGATAACGAAGTGATATAATCGAAGTCTGTGAACACGTACCCTGGCTCTTGAGATTGGGAGCAAGACTACCAGTACCATCATCCGGGCGGTTAACGTTACGACCCGGGCCTGTATTAACAGGGTTGTCCATCCTGGGAGCGGGAGCGTTCTGGCGATTGTTGTAGTTGGATGTGAAAGGGTTTCCTGCGTTGTGGGTGCGTTCGTCGGACGTCTGAGTCTGACTGCGAGTTACGGGTTTGTCGTGGTCAGTTATGGCGTCCTTGACTTTGTGAACGAAGTTCGACATTGTAGATTTAAGTTTGGATCAGTAGTTTTGAGATGCTAATCGTAGTGAATTAGTATGTCAGTCGGGGGTGGATAAATCAAGCTGTTTTATAGTAGATCTCACACTAATTGCATACTAATGATTCTAAGCAATATCTCCACTCTTACTACCAGTAGTAACTATAGTGACGACATGTGTGCGGTCATGCAGAATAATAAAACAGGGAATAGTACTAGGAATTTGCTGATTCTATCCAATCTTCCTCTCTCATGACGTCGTCCTAATACATGCTAGCATGAGAGGTGAGCGGGTGGCTTCAAAGTCTCCGCGAAGCTCAATACCATATTGGGACGACATTATTCCAGACCCAGCAAATAGATGACCTGAATTCAGAATGTCGCATGTGACTACCTTTCCCCGGCCTAGATATCCATGGTTCGTGCGCCACCCATGGTTCTGGATTCAGGTATTTGGCGAAAAGTATATAGTGACCCACGGGTATAGCTGCTTAAAACCTGAATTGGCCTATTTATCCTTAGACTATCTTTGTTCATAATGAAGGCAAAGCTAAGGATAGTGCTGATTGGAGAGGTGAGCAGAGAGGAGGCGATGTAGGCAGAAACTCCTAGTTGAAGTTATTATGGGTGTGTTGTACAGCCTCAAAGGCGGTCCCTTTTTCTGCCCGCATAACTGCCCCACCAGGCCTGATGCACAGGCTGCGGCTATCTATAGAGCGCCATAGCTATGACTGTGACCTTGATCAGAAAGCTGGTGTAGAGATAAAGTATATTAAATAATTAGAATGCCTGCACTCGGATTCCCCGATTCCCCCATTCCCCCATAAAATCAAACCCATAACACCATAGCCTTAAACTCCAGTAAAAAAGAGATTCGCAATCCACACGCATAGATAATATAACGCTTGACACCTGAACCTCTCACACGTTGACCATTGACCATTACTCGAAATGCATTGAGTCACATGAGTAAAGAATCAATCCTTGTCCAACATCCCAAAACTCCTACTCACGTCTCCAATTCTCTCCCCCCGACTCTCGGCCAGTAATCCCATCAATCCCTGCGCCACGTCCTTAATCTCATTGTAAGAATGTAGGAGGTGAATGTGTTGCTTGACTGTTTTGTCTGGCTCGTTGCTGTAGAGATTCAGTGTCAGTATTGGCAGCTCATATATGCATGCATGTATGTGGTGCCAATGGGATCTGGTATGCTGGTAGGTTGACGGATTGGGGAGAGAGACGGACTGTAGTTTTGGGATGATCTCGTTTAGATCGGATTGAATTGAATCGATCTGAGATTGGAGGGTTGTGACTGATTTCTGAAGGGTGGTCTGTTGGTTGTTAGTAATTGCTGGTGCTGGTGCTGGTGCTGTGCTGCTTGGTTTGACTTACTATTTTGGCTGATTGTTTGTGGGCGTGAGCCACCTCTGGACTTGGAGTGGTTAGTTTCATCTCGATGTCTGTGTCTTTCGGGTCCATGTTGGGGGCATAGTAGTAGGGTGAGTGAAGTGAGAGAGAGAGAGAGTGAAGTGTATACATACTATTGTATTGTACTGTTTGTATGTGCATGGCATGGCTGGCCAATCAGACACGCCGCTGAATCAGCCGTGCCTGGCCGCGTCTGCCAAGTGGATCGTAAGGAGAATTAGGAGAATTGTTATGCAAATACTCCGTAGTTATAGGAGAAATCAGGAGTAAATATTGGAGAAAAGGTAGAAAATCAGAGAATACTTCATTTTAGTTAATCAAAACCCCTTACCCCTAATCTACTATGTATGTTTATACTCCTACTGACCGTGTGGACCTCCGCGTAATCGGGTCCTCCGGATTGGGGCGACCCTCCCACGCTTTCCGCTTTTCCCCCCCTCGACTTCAACGTTGGACTCTCCAACTCACTCACCCCCTTCTCCTCCACCACATCATGTCGTTCCTTCGGTCGACGTCCCTCGTCGTCTTATTCGCGGCGACTGCCCTGGCCCACGGCGGCCATGAGGCTGTCCCCGATGGCGAGGCCATCTCGCTCGAGCCCATTGTATGATCATACCATCTATCTATCTGCCTTGTGCTCTACAAAGCAGGAGGTAGACCACCTAAGTCACTACACTTCTCGCGAACCATGCTAATCACTCAACCCTTTTCCTCTCTAGGACTCCACGCTATGGGTTCATATGATTCTTATGGGCTTTGCTTTCGGCATTATCTTCCCCTTGGGTATGGTCCTGGGTGTATGTTATTGCCTTTTCTTTTTCTTCCAGCTTGCAACAGCCCACCTCCCTCCTCCAGATCCATCCAACTAACCCAATCGTCTCCGCTGTCTCAGATCGTTCGCTCCCGCTGGCACGTCCCCGTCCAAATCGTCGGAACCATAATCGCCGTCCTAGCCTACTTCCTCGGCCACGCGCACCACGGCCGCCAATTCGGAAAAAACGCCCACGCCTCCTTCGCAAACTGGCTCATGCTAATCCTAGTCGCGCAAGTCGTGCTAGGCGTCTATCTAAAACTCCACCTCGTGAAAGCCGGCCAAGCCCGCATCCGCTGGATCTTCGTCTTAGCCCACGGAATCCTGGGCAAGATCATGCCCGTGATTTCCTGGGCCCAGATGCTCTTCGGCGGTATTGCGGCGCTGGGCTTCTGCCAAGATGACCATATGGGACAATGTCTAGCGCACTTCATTATGGGCAGCGCATTCATTGGATACGGAATCTGTCTAACGATCCTACTTCTCGTGGGCCAGTTCTGGCTACGCCGCACAGGTCGGAGTCAAGAATTCTTCGACTCGCTCATCATCGCGGCATGGGGTTGCGTTAATACTTTCACCGAGCATCGCTGGGGCGAGGAGTGGGGTCATAACGATCTTCAGCACACCACTATGGGAATTGTTTGGTGGTGCGCGGGTCTGTTGGGTATGTGGCTTAGTCGCAATCGGTACGGTCGACCTAAGCGCAATCTCATCCCGGCTATTGTCATTCTCATGACGGGTTATGCTATGTCGGCGCATCCCAGTCTCTTATGATCAGTACCATGATCCACTCTATTTTCGGCTATACACTCATGGCGGCTGGTTTGACCCGCATTATTGAGATCTCGTTTGTCTTGCGAGATCAGAGCGCTGTGAGCATGAACGGTACTGAGCCGAATAGCTTCCAATACCTGACTCCATTCGTATGTACCCTTTTCCCCAGCCCAACTGTTATCGTGCGAATGATTCATCTAACCTGACGACAGCTGCTCTACGCCTCCGGATTCCTCTTCCTCGGCGCCACGGAGGAACAAATGAAACTCCTCAGCGACGCGGGCATTACTCACGTCTCCTACATTCTGATTCTGTACAGCATCGCATTCATCCTATTCCTCTGTACGTTTGCCCTTGCCCATACCCTCGCCCATAGTATTGCTATGTGTACAATGAACTAACCAACCCAGTCGTCAACGTCCTCCTCCACATCTACGCCGTCCACACCTGGCCCACAGAAGAAGACGCCATCGACCCCGAAGAAGCAGAAGCACAGAGCCGCGGCAAATACACAACCGCAAACGGGGGCTACACGAACGGCCGCGCACGATCAAACTCCGAAGCCCAGCGTATCCAGGACGCGGAGGGGTTCGAGTTGCAAGGTCTTATTAGTGATGAGGAGGATGAGCCGACTTCTTCTGTGGCTCCGAAGAGAAAACATGATCAGGTTGATGTTGATAAGGAGGAACGTTAAAATGGGGTTGGCTTTTAATACTTTTTTGGGACTTTGACACCTTTCTCATCTATCGCTGTCGCTGTCTCCGTCTTTATTATTCTCCGTCTACAATTTGTGGCGAGTGAGTTGATGGGCGTGTGTGGGCGGGGCATGAGTGGGTTGATTGATCGTCTTACCATACTACTACTGCTACTATTACTACATCATTTTCTAGGCGTTGGGGCTGTTGAATAATTTGTGAACATATATACTTCTAAACTTGAAGATTTTCATATTTTTCGAATCTATTAGAGCGCCACGATAGACATCATACTAGTACTAGTAGTACGAAGACCTCAGAGCAGAGAAGGGAACTTGAAAATATTATACTACAATACTATAATATAATAACCTTCTGTCCGCTAGGTAACAGTCAACATACGGATGAACGGAACTCTCTTAGGAGCATGGTAATTCACTTTGCCTCATGCGGGATAAGAACTTTGGTAGAAGACACTCGCCTCCGACGCCTTTTAGACGATTTAGGAGAGATGGGCTCCGAGCTTGTGAGCAAAATTGTTGATTAAGCTCGCATCTACATAGCACATCTTTACTTAAGAGAATATACTATTTTAGCCGTCCCTTATTACATAGTGATATCAAATACATATCAAGCACGCTAAGTTACATCATCAATTATACACAGGAGTAGGTTGGCGATAGGATTGGGGCATTGCTTCCCCATCCCTCAAACTTGTCAAAGGGGCATTTGGATATTTTGAGAACAATTGGATCATCTCCGTCAGGCTGTCTGCCAATTGGTCAATGAACAGCTGTCCCAGGACATCCCCCGCCCCGGTCACGATCAAATCGAGGCCCGAGTCCCGCTCCATGGAGACCACATCCATCTGTCCTGGGATGGTCTTCGCGTTGCCCCAACCGGCGTTGGCCAAAGAAGCAACTCCACCAAGCTCCCAGGAACTGTTAGGCTGCGGACTCTCGTGATGGACGCGAAGACCGAATCGGACGTCTTCTGGCCAACTAGTGGAATGTTTTGCAATAGTTTGAAGTGTTATCGAGTCGTGTTGAAAAACAGCCATCTGTTGTGTTTGTACATATCGCATAAACTGCGCCACCGTCGATGAGGTGTCAATTTTAATCCTGACTGGGAGTGTATTGATACAAGGACCGAAGATGTTGCCGATTCCCGGAGGCAAGCCACCACGCCCATGGACGACCTGGCCGAAGACAAGATCTAATTGGCTGGTGTAGTCGTGAGCGATTACCCATGCCAGGGCCGACTTGACTAGTGTCGACATGGTAGCTTCTGGTTGAAGATAGGGCCGGTCAATACCTCGCATTGCCGTTGGTGGGTGTTTTAGCTCGACGGGTGGAAGTGAGGGTTTGGGAACGCCAAATGGGGCGAGTGCGGCCGGAGAAGCGTCGTGCAAGTACTCCTTCCAGAAGGTGAAGGCATCTGTATGATGTTGCCCGATGCGGTGATGAACCACATTGGCAAAGTCTGTAGCCTTGGGGACCTCTTGTCCCGCGTAGGCTGCGGCAATGGCCTGCCAGAGAATGGAAATACAGGACTGGTCGTATTGGGCGTGAGACAAACTGATAAGAAAAACAAATTCTCGCCGAACGGTACTAGTAATGACCTTGAAACGGACTGGACTGAAAAGTAGTTGGGTGGTTGGGGTCGGTCGCTGGCGGGAGAGGTGTGTCATGTATGCTTCGGGATCCTCTTCTTCTGCAAATTCAAAGCTGGGCTCTAGGCTTTGCAAAATCACCTGGAAGATGCGATCATCCAGATTAACAAATACCGTCCGCAGTATGCTATAGCAGGAAACAACCTGATAGCAAGCGCGACAAAGACGATCGAAGTCCACAGCAACTGGAAATAAGTACGCATATTCAACGGGAGACGAGTGTTGGATATAAAACTCCTGGTATGGTAGAGTAGGCAGAATATCGGTGATGTTGTCCGCACTGAAGGGGTGCTCCTCGGCGAAGAATGAGGAAACAATGGAAGTATGTTCACCAGGATGGATGAGTGAGAACGGAGGCTTTACAGGCGATTTCGACACGGTAGATGATATACCAGCCTTGGTAGCCAACTGACGGGCCATTTGTCGGATGGTTTCCCAACGGAACAACTCCCCAACGGTATGCTTAATGCCATTGGCCTCGGCTCGCGAAGTGGCCTTGAGAGCAGAGATCGAATCTCCGCCTAGTCGAAAGAAGCTGTCTTCAGCCCCGATCTCGGCATGTGCAATGGTCAGAGTCTCTGCCCAGACGTCTTGAATCATCCGCTCTAGGTCAGACGACATGGGCTGCTTCACCAGAGTTGTGTTAGGAGCAAACTTTTTGATCTGCTGCCATGTCATTGTGGCGCCAGCATCTCGGAGTCGATGTCGATCGAGCTTTCCACCAACGGTCTCGGGCATTTGGCGAAGAGGGATAAAGGCAGATGGAACCATGTAGTCCGGAATAGCAGCACATAGCCGGATGTTGGCATCAGTAATATGACCGGCATGGTTAGGTGGAATTGCTATGTTCAGTTGAAGCGGCACATCCATGGAAGAAGAATATGGTTCCTCGGTATTGTCAGGGTTGTTGGGTACAACAAACGCAATTAGACATGCTACCTGACCCGGTCCAGCTGGTGTGATGATTTCAGTGACAACGTTCTTCCAAAATCCAGGGCAATGATGGCGGATATTCTCCTCAACATCGCCGAGCTCTAACCGCTGGCCCCGCAGTTTGACCTGAGAGTCCCTTCGACCTATGAATACCAACGATCCATCGGCTTCATACCGAGCCAAATCACCTGTGCGGTATACCCTCTTGTGGTCACCCGTTGAGAACTCTTGGAGCCAGCTTGGGCAGGAAAGGAACGCGGATGCCGTTCGGTCAGGATTGTTAAGATAACCTCGGCCGACTAGAGATCCTTGCAGCAGAATCTCACCTACAGCACCGATTGGTACTGGCAGATGAGGATCCCGCGGATTTACAAGCCATGCATTTCCTGCAATTGGGAATCCGATGTTGGCTGGGGAACTCACATCAACGCCAGTCTGAATAGTGAAGAATACAGTGCATTCGGCGGGGCCGTAGCTATTCAGTAGGCGTACTTGATTTGACCATTGCTGTATATCGCTGGCATTGACTGGCTCTCCAATAAGGCTGATAGTATGAACCGATGGTAGATCGGCTGGGGCCAGTACTCGGAGAAGGGACGGTGTGAAGATGGCATGAGATGGCTGCATTCTAACCACGGCCTCAGTCGGACCTTCCTTTCGTTCAGAGCCGGATAAAATGCAGATACAGCCTCCAATAATTAAAGTACCAAGCATTTCGAACATGCTCACATCAAAGGCATAGGATGAAAACTGAAGGACCCGAGAAGTAGTATTCATCCGCAAGTGCTCGGCGTACCGATTCGACATGGTAACGAAAGCCCCATTCTCAACAACCACACCTTTCGGTTTTCCGGTGGATCCTGAGGTAAAGATAGCATATAGGGCTTGATAGGGGTTTTGCATATTGGGTAGGTCCGGTGTTGTCATCTGATATTGGAGAGCGTCCTCTCCAACTGAAATGACCGTGGGAGCTAGTGACTGAGCAGTGGACATATTGTTCCCCGCACTCAGTATAAGCGAAGGTTGAAATTCATTGCAAATATCCCGAATCCTATTCACGGGATGGGCAGTGTCAAGAAGGACAAATGCTGCCTGCGCGTGGAGAACACCGAGCATAGCGATGACAGTCCACCGGGACCGTTCCATGTATATAGGGACAAAGGACTCTGATCCAATACCATTGGTAACAAGCAAGGAACCAACCTTACGGGCCAGGTAAAGCATCTCATCGTAACAGAAGTTCCCATCCCAGGAGCAAACTGCCTGGGCTAGGGGCTGGCTCGCAGAATGCTTTTCTATCATCGCCCTGACAGTGTTTGGACTAGGGGGACAATTGGGTAATGCCCACTTTCGCAGGTGATCGATGGCACACGGACTCAACGTGGGAATGTTGCTAATCATAGAACGTGGCTTCTGGTAGACTTGTTGGAGGGTATGGCTGAATTGGTCGAGGATGTTTTTCAGATGCCATTCAGAAACTACATTCTCGTCGTAGGAGGCATCAATGATCACACTATCAGCCTTTAGGATGCACGTCAACTGTAAAGCGTAGGAGCTGAATGCCCCGAGACCCGAAGTTGTCTCAATAGGTTGCATCAGTCCTTTCTCCAGATATCCATCCTCTGCCTCTCGGCCCGTTACCATGAGCAAAGTCTGAAACCTGCAGCATTCAGCGGTTTCCGGATTGAGCTTAGCGATTTGGTGCAAACCCAATTGCTCTACCGCGGTTATGTCCACAGACCATTGCTGCAGGCTCTCCAGCAGCTCGGTAACCGTTTTATTACCGTCAAGGGTTACTCTCAGAGGTAAAGTGGCAATTGTCGGGCCAGTCATGTTTTCGATGCCTCGTATTGGTGCTCGACGTCCCGATGAGACAATACCAAATACAACATCCTCGGAGCTCTGGTACTGAGATTGAACAAGAGCCCAGGCGAGCCAGGTAGCCGTGGTCCTGGTGACAGAGTGCTCGGAAAAAGGACCAGTGGGTACTTCACAATGGGAGTGGGCCAACGCATGCGGCCGGTAAGTTGGAGAGGGCAACGAGGGGAACGGTACCACAGATATCTCATGGAACTCTGCATTCCAGCGTTGGGGTGCTATCTCGGATTGGGAGATAACGTGTTTTACGAAGAGCTGGAAAGGCGGCGGCTTCTGCAATTCACACGCAGGGTCACTATAGGCCTCATCTATAGCCTCCGCTAGCCGTGCAAGTGACCACGCGTCATACACCGCATGATGCATTGTTAACATCAAATGATATTCTTTGATGTCAGAACCTGACGCTTGCACTGGGAAAACCTTGAACTGGGCCAAGGCTGTTCCAAAACCCATTGCGTTATCGCACGAGTTTTGCGGGAAGTCGACCGCATCACTTTTTAGGACAACCTGAAGACAACCAAGATCATTCGTGTAGATAAGTCTGGTGCGTAGAATTGCGTGTGTTTTCAGGACCCTATCCAAGGCGTGATGCAGCCGATCCAGATCAATGCTGGGAGGTAGTAGATAGCGGTGGAATGCGACGTATGCACCAGAGCGTCCTTCTGTGACGGAAGCCAAGGCAGCCTGCAAGGGAGTACATGGATAGATGTCTTCAATTTGATCCAGCAATATACCGCATTGAAGAGATGCTTGAGCTTGGGCTTCGGAACGTTGCTGAGGCTGAAGTAGGCTGAATGCAGCGATGTCGTCTGCCACAGCATCTGCCGCGGACCTGGATCCACAACAGGAGTGACAAGCAACTACACGCGCAAGATCACGCAGCCGAGGATGCTTGAAAATGTTGGAAACTGCTATTTCTAGCCCGACTGGTCCGCCGCTTGATGCTAACCGCATAACGGCAATCGAATCGCCGCCCAAGCGGAAGAAATGATCATCTGGGCCAATTGTCTCTGCTGGACGCCGAAGTACTTTTGACCAGAGACACCGCAGTTGGTGTTCAATCGGGCTTAAATCATCCTGGGACACACGATCCGTAGCTTGGGTTACTCCTTCTAATTGTTTCTCCATTGCATGCGACATCTCTTGACGCAGTTTGGGCCGATCCACCTTACCACTTAGCATCCTCGGAACCCTGTGCAGAGGAAAGAACGCTGCAGGTATGAGGAAAGAAGGGATATCCGATTGCAGAATTTTCCTTGAATCTGCGACCGCACTGTCAAATTCCGTCGAAAGATACGAGTTCGAAATGTTCACTGCAGCTACCAGATATGTCGTTTGACATTGCTCTGGGGCGATCACCTCGGCCAGTACCTCGGGGCTCCCTGAAAAGGATTGCTGGACATGATGTTCCACCTCGGCTAGTTCGATCCGTTGCCCGTTCACTTTGACTTGACGGTCCTTTCTTCCAATATACCGAGTTGATCCATTGGGCAGGAGCCTTACGAGATCTCCCGTTAGGTAAAGCCTTCCAGGTCGCCCAGAGCGGAAAGATTGTAGCCAAGCGGGTGCATCAATAAATGAAGCATTTGTCTGCTCAGGCCGATTTGCGTACCCCCTACCGACAATGGGACCCTCGATGAGTAGTTCTCCCACAGCCCCAATGGCAGTCAATTGGGCCGAATTTTGGGGGGAAACCGCCCAAGTGGCGCCTCCTGCCGGCATTCCAATATCTGCAGGATCTGTATAGAGTGCCTCAAGGGAAGATTGAACCGTGGCAATAACCGAGCATTCCGATGGACCATAGGCATTCATAAGTTGCAACTGCGAAGACCATCGGCGCACATCCTCTTTGTTCATACCCTCTCCACCCAAAACCAAGGTTCTCAAAGATGTGACATCCTTAGGATCCAGCATTCGCGACACAGACGGTGTCAACAGTGCCCAGTCAACTTGATATTCCTGAATAAATCCAGCTAGTCTCTGCTGGCGGTCAATGTCCTGCGGAATACAAACACATCCGCCGACAATGAGCGTGGTGAGGATCTCGACTATGCTTGCGTCGAAGGCGTGAGAAGCAAACTGAAGCACCCGTGAGCCCTCCGCAAGATTTAGCATCTTATGGTGGGCTTTTTGTGCGGACATGAATGACTGATGCTCAATTATATTTGCTTTTGGCTTCCCAGTAGACCCCGATGTGAAGGTTGCATATGCCGGTGTGTTGGGCGACACTTTCTTCAGATGTAAGCCCTGACCCTGATGGAGCTTCCACACTTCCTGTTCCTCGCCATCAAGCACAATGACTTTATGGGCAAGATGTTTTGCTACCGGTCTCTGGCGAGATGAAGTTAACACTAAGGGACACTGAAATTCCCCACGCACCATATCTTGCAATCGTTCAAGGGGATGTGACGGATCTAGGAGGATGAAAGCCCCACCCGCCTTAAGAACTGCAAGTGCAGCGGCAACAACCCAGCGAGACTTTTCACTGCACACTGGCACGAATATTTCTGGCCTTATACCCTGCTCTTGGAGGTGGCTGGCTATCTCTGATGATATACAATCCAGCTCACCGTAGTTGAAGCTGCCGTCCCAAGCACAGATAGCGGATGCAGCTGGATTGATCAAACTCCGTTCATGGATCACATCATGAATGCAGGATGTCCCCACCTCTGGGATATTTCCCTTCAAATTCATCATGCATTGGTAGTTTTTGGCTCCGACCAGATCCAATTGACCCAGGTAAATGATGTTGGGATCGAGTAACTGCGCTATAACACGCTGGAATGCATCTCCAATTAGCTCTGCCTGCACCTCCGATAGTGCATGTGACCAGAAGGTAAGATCACCAGATATGACACTTTTCTCATTGACCGAGAGATTAACAGTCAAGTCAAACTATCGAATTTTAGCCTTCAGTTGAACGATATTATATGAACTGGCCTGGCCAGTTTCGAGCATACCTCGGTTACGTCATGTCCTCCACGATACTCCAGTCGAGACCCAGAGCTACCATTTTGATCCCAATTTGTACTGGCCTTTTGCAGAGACATGGCTGTGTTGAACAATGCCTGTCCTGATAGGTTCAAGGAATGTATCACGTCAACCAAACTGCAGATCTGGTTATCCAGACTACTTGCGTAGGAGCTCTGGTTGTTCCGTAAAGCTGACTCAACTCCATCTTCATCGCTCAAGGAGAGGCGACACACCAAAAGGTTGATTAGAGGACCAGCAATACATTGTGCACCTTGAAGAGGAATCTCCCGACCAGCCGTCAGGTAGGCAAAGCAGACACAATCCGAACCGGTGTATGCACGAAGGACCAGGCCCCACGCCACCTGCAGGAGATTGAAAACAGTGATTCCAAGGCCATTGCAGACTGATTGAATACGATCACCATAATCAAAGTTTAATGGAACTGAGAGTAAAGTAGATTGCTGATCAACAGCTGACACCAAAGAAGGGAAGATGCATGGTTTGACATCCTCAAGATACCGATTCCAGTACTCCTGCGATGCCTTCCCGTCTTGCTCTTGACAGTACGCGATGAAAGATCTGTATTGAACTCTTGGATCAGTCTGAAGCTGTCCATCGTAGGCCTTCTGGAAGTCTGAAATCAACAGGCGGCGAGTGTAGCCATCTATGAGCATATGGTGGATGTTGAGTTCACAGACAACTTCTCCCCTGGCTGAGGCCTGAGGATAAGCCAATGAGATGGCTGCTTTCTGTCGTGTTGCTGAGTCAAAGGATTATGGTTTGCGTGTATGCTTCCATCAGAAGAAATAGTCTTCACATCTGCGACGACTGATTGCAACACAACTTGAACGGGGTAGTTCTGGTCCCCGGGCCAGTTGTAAAGGTAGTCCGCAGAATGGTGTAGCGATCGACTACCCGCTGCCATGCGTCTCGCACCTTATTTAGATCGATAGGGGCGCACGTTGGATGGAGCGACCATTCCATGCTTGACCAGTACATATCAGGGTTTTTGATCTGACTGAGCCACATGCCAGTTTGGACGGGCGAGCAGGGATAAATTTCTTCAATTTCCGACGGAGAAAACCGACACTTGCCCGCTATCTGGCTCACCAGACTTTGTAACTGGTCATCTGTGGTCACTGGTAACAAAGGGAAATCAGACATCGTAAACTGCTGGTGCTGTCTCAAAATTGTGGGCAGGGATTCCAATGCCTTCTGGAACCCCAGAACCCACTGGCGTAATTTCTCTTGATGCTTCATGCGTCGATTGTACCAGAATGAGATATGAAGGCATTTATCCATGACGGTTGCCGACACATCGATCAGAGCAAAGCGTGGCAAATCTGGAGGAACAGGAATAAGGTCATGGTCGGGGAGAGTCGCCAGTTTCAAGAGTGCCTGTGATCCTTCAAGCTGTTGGAACCGCCCTGTGTAATTGAGAATAATTTCCATCTGCTCGTGGTTCTTAAAATGTCGTGGCCCGTCCTCGTGAAGGTACCGCGAAGTAAAGTACTCCCAGCCGTTACTAGGAACAGAGCGGCGACGCTCCTTGAGGCGTTGGAGTAGATCTGCAATTCCTTGGTCCTTCTTTGCATTCACAAAAACAGGGGCCAAAGTGGTAAACCAGCCCACTGTACGTGAAACATCGATTTGAGGGTCCCACGGCTCTCGCCCATGACCTTCACTGAATATTGTCGGCGTGGGCCTATCTTTAAATGTCTGCGAAAATGCATACACGAGAGAGGTATGGATGAGTTCGACCGGTTGCGTGCGAAATGCATCATTACAAGCACCAAGAATTGCGCTCGTAATATTCTCTGGTAGGCAGATGGCTTCGTGTAGTGCCTCCCCCCCCACGTATTGTGACTGAGCAAGTCGTCTCCTCCCCAGTAGCTTTGTGCTGGGGGTGGGATCTCTCTTGGAAGAGATTTTCGGGGATCCAGAACCTCACGACTGTACTCATGCTGCAAAAGACACCAAGTCTGAAACGACAACGATTTCAACCCAGAGATCGTTCCCGTCGATAACAGCTCATCTAGGTCTTGCAAAATCACTCGCCAGGACACCAGATCAATGACCATATGGTGGGCCATCATTGACAGAAGCTGCTGATGCGGCGTTGTGATGAGATCAATGGCCAACACAGTTCCTTGCTTAATATCTAACGCTCGTTGACTTCCTGAGAGAATATCCCGGAGCCCATGAGTCCCTATCGAGGGAACAGAGTGCGTACGGAAATAAAAGCTGTCCGTACCTTTAGGGCGGATCGCTTGCTCCACTGCCCATTCGGCAACCGCCGAAATGATGCCCGCAGCATTGAATGTCGGTCGACAGTACCCCTGATGGACTGGTAGACCCTGGATTCTGGTTGGTGTTTAGAAACCTTTAACAGGAACTGCTGGGTGAACTTGTTATGTCCCTCGGGTGTATGCTGAACAAAGAGCTGTTGAATTGGGGACAAGCTGAACCAAGTGTCGATCGGATCCTCATCGGCCAAAGCAGACAGGTAAGAACTATTGCTAGATGTTCCCATCTTGTCGGCTAACTCCGCAATGCTTGGATAGCGAAATATATCTCTGACGGTCACCATAAAACCCGCAGATTTGCAGGTGGCGGCCACTTGCATGGCACTGACCGAATCTCCTCCCAATCGGAAGAAACTTTCCGTCACCTCCATTTCCTCGGGTGAACGGTTAAGTGCTTGGGCCCATATCCGTTGAAGAATCTCTTCCTGAGAGCTCGAAGAACGTCTAGACTGCGACGGGCTGCCACGGTAACTTTGGAGGTCTTCCCAAGATAGAAGAGCCGCGCATTTCTGCAGTTCGCGACGATTTGTCTTTCCAGAAGTAGTCACTGGCATCTGGGAGACTGGCAAAAACAGACTTGGAATCATAAATGCCGGGAGGGTACTGGCTAGCTCATTCTGCGCGGCAAAGCATTCCATTCGGAATTGATCACTGGGGGGGGAGGAAGATGTCGTGTCCATTTTCAGCACAAGCGGTGGATAAGGGCTCATCGGTGCGGATGAAGGCCACCAAAATATCCTGTGGTCTCAATATCTCTGCCACAACATCAGTGGAGGGAGGAAATGAATTGCGCAGATGATGCTCAATATCAGCCATTTCCAGCCGTTGCCCCCGGAGTTTGGCCTGCGTGTCCTTGCGCCCTATGTAACGGAAAGAGCCATCGCCTGTATGCTGAACCAAATCCCCGCTCTTATACACCTTTCCACCTGAGATCCCGAACTGTCGACGCCAGGAAGGTGCATTAACAAAGGCGGCTGCTGTTCTTGCGGGGGTTAGGCTGTATCCCGGTCCCACCGTTGGGCCTTCGATCAGCAATTCCCCGATGCATCCCACTGGCATCAGAACTTGATCATCTTCGGAATGGACAACCCAGCCGATAGCACCCGTGGGAAATCCAATATTGGAAGGGTCATGTACTTGCAGGTGGGGCTGAACACTGAAGACCGCGGAACACTCTGCTGGCCCATAAGCGTTGCGCACATTGACGTACGGCTCCCAGCGCGCCACATCACTAGCTAAGACTGCCTCCCCAACAAATACCAGAGTTTCGAGGCAACAGAGAGACTCCGGTGATATAATCCGAGTCACAGTTGGTGTCAGGCATGCAACATTGACATCAAATCGGCTTACAGCGTCCCCAAGTGAGCTTTGGCAGTCGGCCGTGGTGGGAATACACACGCAGCCACCCATGATCAATGTAGTGAGGTGCTCGATAATGCAAGAATCGAATGCCGGTGATGCAAATTGAAGGACTCGCGACTGTGGAGTGAGGCCATACAGTTCGCCATGAGCCAAAGCGCTCGAGGCAAATCCATCGTGGGTGACGACTACTCCTTTTGGTGTGCCGGTTGATCCTGACGTGAAGGTGGCGTAGATGGCATCTTGGGGAGTAGCAATGAAGGCTTCAGGGAGAACATCGTTAGTGTCACTCATCCACGGCTCCATTCTCGTGCCATCAATAATCAAACGGCTTCCTGTGAATTCGGAAACAATCGGCTCATTTACGGGCGAGATAATGATAAGACTAGCTTGAAGCTGGCGATATATCTCTTGAAGGCGTTGGACTGGGTACGCCGGATCCAGCAACGCAAAAGCAGCCCCTGCCTTCATGACAGCCAACATGCTCACCGTCATCCATTTCGACTTTTCCAGGCACAATGGCACAAAATGACCAGACCTAATCCCTAGCGAGAACAGCCGCTTCGCTAGAGCGGAAGAGAGGTCGTCGAGTGCTTTATATGTGAATTCCCCATCCCAGCTGCAAACAGCTGTATCCTGGGGGCTGTGGTAGACACGATCATGTATTAGGTGAAGCACACTCCGTGATGCAGCCAACGGTACTGGTAGATTCCAACGGCATAAGTCAAACTTGTCCTGGAGACTGATTGTGTTGATGTCCCGGAGAGTCATGGCCGGGCTGCTCTCTACTTGTTGGTAGATATGTGCAAATTGCTGCAACAGGCGTTCTGTCTGACTTGGGGTGATGACAGCCGGGTCGAAGGATGCTTCGATACACATGGACTCGGCAGATGGCCGGCATCGCAAGATAAGAGAGTATGTATCATATGTTTTTTGTAGTTCTCGACCGTTGGCGAAGAGGCTTGGAATACTCTGTCTGTCACGTGGCTCAACGGCCAATAACGTCTGAAATTGACATGCAGCCGCGGGCCTTGTCCCAAGCGAGAGAGATTCTGCAATCCAATATGCTGGACAGGGATTGTTGCGGCCCACTTACTCTGAACCTTATGTAGTGCGTCGACTATTCGTTCGCCTGGGTTCAATATGACACGGACCGGAAGACAGTTCAAAGCTGGCCCGCTCAAGGTCTCAATGTCTTGAACCTGTGTTCCTCTGCCAGCGTCGATTGCCCCGAAAACATTATCTGGGGATCCCGTGTAATGTGATTGTAGGATTGCCCAGGCCAAACGCACTTTTGAGTTAATTGTGAACCTCTGTCCTTTGTCTGTGCAACTGGACAGACGGTGTTGCCGTGATTCGGTAGGCCGGGGCTCATATCCGGCTGCGGGCCGTGTTGGAAATCCTTTCATGGACGACTGATGCGCGTCCTCGAATTCCGCAGTCCAAAAGACTTCTGCCTCACGTCGAGATTGTGAGATATAGTCAATCAAAGGCCTGAATGGGTGAAAAACGATTTCCTTCCCGTGATATGCTGAATTCACCTGTTGCAACAGTAGCGCCATTGACCAGTCATCACAGAGCGCGTGGTGAATTAGGATCGTCAAAGTGTGTTGGTGATTATCGGCGTCTGATAGTAAGGTGAATTTCACCAACGGTGCTCCAGTTCGCCATTCACAACTCATAGCATCAAAAGATCCAGGCTTTTGATCCTCCCAGGGTATTCTACCACGGACAACTGCCTGCACACACCCTTGCTGGCGGGTGGGAATGATTCGTGTGCGCAAAATAGGATTGGCCTGGTAGATGCAGTCCCACGCGTCGTGAAGGCGTAAAGTATCAATCTCCGACGGCATGCGGTACTCGTATTCAACAGTGTAGGCCATTGGGTCTTTTTTGGTGATAGCCATCATTCCCTCCTGGAGAGCTGTGCAGGGATAGACATCTTCTAGGTCATCTAGCGAGAAATGGGATTGTTCCGCGATTTCTTGAAGAAGTTCTTTGTCATCCATGTAGTGGCTTGTGGACCAGCTATTGTCTCTTTCCATGAAGTCCATGTTGATGGGCCTTCCATTTTCATTTGATGCAAAAATTGGAAGCGATTTGTTTGCCACAACGAGTTGTGGTTCTACATCGCTGACACCCATGCTGCAGTCAAGAATTGGTTATTAGGACGGCACAGAAAATTAAAGATGGCTGGACGCTTGTGTGCATGGAAATTGTGTAAAATAATGAAAACCAATGTGAAAGCCACATTGTTTTTATAACTTGGTTTTGATGAGCCATGCTCCACTACCTGGGTATAGATATTCTGCTGCACGCTCATATTGGTAGAGGGTCTAGAACAATGTAACATAGCAAAAGTACGTGTATTGTTGGCATCATCTCGTAATGTTATGTTTTGCATCGAATGTTTAATCTGGACAGATCTGAGTTAGGGTTACATTCACCGTCGGCTGGTACGGGTAGATGTGGATCGGCACCTACAAGCGGGCAAGTCATGATATCAGAGAATCCCGGTTGTCAGACACTGAGTCCGAAGTCCTTTTATGCATAAATCATCCAGTAATAGCAAGTAATTCGCTAGGAGACACCTTAATAATAAGACGTATCGCCCGACATCTTCTCATACCTCACTCAGGTTATCTTCTGGGAATACACATGTGTCAATCATGGAGTCTTCTTCCCCAGGTCCGAGTTAGACGAGAAGCACTCAGAAAACACTGACCCAGCAGAAGCCATAGAGACAGGCCAGGCCGACGTTGAAGCAGAAAAGGCAGAACCCGATAAGGGCCCGTCTCTCGGAAATTACCTGGTATATTTCCTGTATCTCTTCGCGATGCTCATGCTGACTCCAATTAGAGGATCCTTTCCTACGGTGCCCGAAATGGAGGCATTGTGGCCATTGTTCTTGGCCTCGTCTGTGCCATGGGCTCTGGAGTGGTATGTGAAGTCTGAGTGAAGGTTCATTGAAGGAACTTTAGCTGACTCTCAAGGCATTGCCCTTAATGAACATCGTCTTTGGCAATCAAGTCGGCAATTTCAATCAATATTTCACACCGGGATCTAGCCTTAATGAGGAGACATTCAAAGCAAGTGTTAACCGTAACAGGTTAGTCGGGCTATCTGGCAATATTCGCGGCTCTATTAACTTGAACTGACATCATGAAGCCTCTATATTGTATATCTCTTCATTGGGAAGTTTGCTCTGACTTACGTTTCGATGGTATTTTTTCAAATATCCCATAGATACTACATTATACTCACTAGATAACAGGTCTGTTTCCGGCTTATTAGTCTCCAGGCTTCCGCAGCTCTGCGTCTGCAGTATTTACAGGCTCTTTTCTCTCTCCCCATCAGCAGATTGGATGAAGTGTCTTCGGGCTCAGTCACTCACGCAATCACTTCCTTATCCAATCAAATCCAGCATAGTGTGTCTGATAAATTGGCTTTATTGTTTCAGTCTCTCGCCTTACTGGTATCAGCGTATGCAATTGCGTTCCGATATTCTTGGGCACTCACCTTGGTCGTTAGCTCCGCCATTCTATTCGTGGTACTCGGCTTCAGCCTCACTATTCCCTTCATTGTAAAGGCACAATATGGGGTTGACCAAGCTGACCAGAAGCATGCTTCCATTGCAGCAGATGTCTTTGCCTCTATCCGCACAGTGCTTTCACTCAATGCAGAAGCCCCTTTAATCGCAAAGCATTCGGCATGGATTGACGAAGCAAGGAGAAGGGGATCACGCATGTCTGTAGTTACAGGCATTCACCTGGGTCTTCTCTTCTTCGCTATGTACGTCAGCTTTGGCCTAGCCTTCTGGTTTGGCCTAAAACTGTACCGTGAGGGTCATATTGGAAGCATTAACGTCGTTATCACGTGTGTGAAACTGCCGTGACCCTTGTTTATCATCATATATCTGACCGGGTCTAGGGTTTTCTTTTCTGTTCTCCTAGTGGTCACTATTCTGGGAAGCATCGCATCTCCTATAATCATTATCGGCAAGGCCATCAGCGCGTCCCGCCCGTTCTTTGACATCATTGACTCCCAGAAGCCTGTTCAAACTGGACTGAGAGACCCAGACGTGTCCAGCAGAACGGATATCACCTTCGACGGGGTTACCTTTGCTTATCCAACACGTCCAAATACAAAGGTACTGCGAGACTTCCATGCTTGTTTCCAGCGAGGCAAAACGACTGCGTTGGTGGGACCTTCGGGCTCGGGAAAAAGTACCATCGTGGGCTTAATTGAGCGATGGTATGAGCTGTCTGATTCATCGCATACAGACGCACAGGCTGTTGAAGGTGAGATCAGGGTAGGCGGCAGTAATATCAATGATTTAGACCTCAAGTGGTGGAGATCCCAAATCGGCCTGGTGCAGCAAGAACCCGTTCTCTTTAACGATACTATTTTCAACAACGTCGCCTTTGGCTTGCTTGATTCCCAACGGGAAAATGAGTCAGAGGCGGTAAAAGTCGATCTTGTCACCACGGCTTGTAAAGAATCATTTGCAGATGACTTCATTCAATATTTGCCTCTGGTACGTAACGGGAATTTCACCATGACACATTGGTGTTGCATACTGACAGTTTTTGAAGGGATATTCAACATTGGTCGGTGAAGGAGGAATCACGTTGAGTGGCGGACAACGTCAGCGTATAGCAATTGCTCGTAGCGTTGTCCGACGACCTCCTATATTGATCCTCGATGAAGCGACCAGTTCAATTGATGTTCATGGAGAGAGGATTGTTCAGGCTGCGCTTGACCGTGTTTCGAAAGACCAAACGACAATTATTATTGCACATCGCTTGTCAACTGTCAGACGGGCGGATCATATTATCGTCATGAAAGACGGACTGAATGTGGAAGCTGGATCTCACCTAGACCTGTTAGCCAAAGGGGGAGTGTATCAGAGCCTTGTGAATGCCCAGAAGCTGATGTCCCAAACAATCTCCGAGTCCGTGGTTGATGAGGAAGAGGACATGCAGCTGCCTCAGGTAGCAGATGGCAATCCAAGTGATACTATCATCCGCAGCGATGATAGTAGCAGGTCCAATAATGAATTTCAGAGCCAAGATAAGGGCTCCTCAAATGGGTTTCTGCGAATTCTCAAACAACAGCGCGTTCAATGGCCATTGTACCTCTTGACCCTCGTGGGCGTACTTGGTGCAGCTTGTAAGATCCCCCAGTTGCGGTCAGTGACTCTGTTGCTAATCCGAAGATAGCTGGTTTCGCGTTGCAAAGTTGGCTCTTTGCACAGCTTGTTCAAACATTTCAGTTTTCGGGACAGAAACTGGTGAATGCTGCAAATTTTTGGGCGCTCATGTTCTTTATACTTGCGCTGGCCATGGCAGCGTTTTACTTCACCATAGGAGTTGGCTCAAACACGATCTCCGTCGTACGTCCTGTAACCCCCAGGCAGTCGAATCCCGGCTAACAAAGTCATAGAATGTCGCATCCACCTATCGCAAAGAGTACTTCCTCAACATGATGGCCCAGCGGGTGGCATGGTTCGATCGGGATGAAAACACATCGGGGGCGCTAATATCCCGACTATCTACGGATCCTAAGCAGCTCCAGGAGCTCTTCGGCATTAGTGGCGCTTTCCCCCTTGTTTCTATATTCAGTGTGATAGGGTGTATTGCCATCTCTTTTTCGTTTGGTCCGAAGCTGGCGGCTGTCGCCTTTTGTGCCGGTACCCCTTTTATGTTCCTAGGGGCCTTTGCAAGAATTCGTTATGAGATGAAGTTCGAGGCCATCAATGCAGAAGTATATGCAGAGAGTTCTCGGTTTGCCAGCGAGGCTATTCGGGCGTTCCGGACTGTGACATCCCTGACAATTGAGGATTTCATCCTCAAAAGATATTCCGAACAGGTCACCACGCAGAGACGCCGGGCTATGCGAAAGGCTTGGTACGCGACCCTGATGTTTGCATTTGCCGATAGCTTCGAATTATGCTCCATGGCACTCACATTCTGGTATGACGCATTTATCCCATCTCAATTTCGGAAACCGGCTCATAAAATCATAGGTACGGTGGCCAACTGCTTGCATCACGTGAATACAATGTGGTGACATTTTTCGTCGTCTACGTTGCCATCATTCAAGGAGGTCAGTCTGCAGGGCAATTTCTCAGTTTTGGACCAAATATCGCGCAAGCGACAGCGTCAGGAAACCGAATTCTCAGCCTTAAGTCTGAATCGAACGGCTGTGTGCAATCCAGCCATGCTGTACCTCTACCATCCATACGAGAGAAAGTGCGGGCAGACATCCAATTCAAAGATGTCTCATTTCAATATCCCTCTCGGGATGTTCCCACATTTACTGGGCTAAACCTGAACATTCGAAGCGGTCAATTTGTTGCCTTTGTCGGGCCATCCGGCTGTGGTAAATCGACAATCATCTCTCTCATTGAAAGGTTCTACGATGCCACGCAAGGGACTGTACTCTTGGGTGGTCGCGACATTCATTCCATCGAGTTATCATCCTACCGGAATGTCCTCTCCCTCGTCAGCCAGGAGCCCAAGCTATTCGACGGCAGCATCCGTGATAATCTTCTTCTCGGTCTAGCCGACACGAATGAGAACACCGAGTCCCAAATGGTACAGGCCTGTCAAGATGCGGAGATCGACGACTTTATCACTTCTCTCCCTGAAGGCTACTCCACGCAACTCGGAGTCAACGCGCAAGCCGCACTGAGTGGAGGCCAGAAGCAACGCATTTGCATCGCACGAGCATTGATCTCTAAGCCACGTGTTCTTCTTTTAGATGAGGCGACATCTAGTCTCGACTCTCAATCTGAGAGTCTCATCCGGGAGGCTATGGAAAGACTGGCAGCCAAACGAGATATGACCATTATTGCCGTGGCACATAGACTGGCGACGATCCAAAAAGCAGATACGATCTTTGTTTTCGGCCAGGAGACTGCCGGTCAAGGCACAAAGGTTGTGGAGAAAGGCACTCATACTGAGCTATTGCAAAATCGGGGAGCATATTGGGAAATGGTAGGTGGGTCTGTTCCCAGTGGATTTCAGTTAAGGCTAACTTTGGTTTCAGTGTCAAGCACAGGCGTTGGACCAATAGGTAAGGTGAGTGTACGAAACGGTGAATGGATCAGGAGCATGGTGAAGGCCCTAGCCTGAGTTCAAGTTATATATGCAGTATCAAAGCATTCATCTTCCGAGATAGTTTAAGGGAGCACGTAAGAGGACCAGGTCCAATGAAGAAGAAAATGGGAAAGAGACACCGTACGATGTGACCGGTGTGATTCTTGCAAAATGGATCCAGGATGGAATCGCACCGGGTGGGCACATTTATCGCGTTCATATACCATAATTCATTTGATGCGTATGGGAATTAAAGGGGGCTTCTCCCCGCAAGTTGTGATTTATTGTCTTAACAACCAATCTTGACTTTCTACGAAAATAGATGCACCCTATCCCATGGGGCTGGTTGGGATACGACTAATACCATTCATTTTGTATGGGTTGGGGTTTTCGGGGCCACCCAAATACCATCCAAAACCTGCGCTATATTAGTTGACGCTAAAGTACGCTGTACTTGCCCCACCAGACTCATGTTGGATTCCCTGTACTGCTGGTGTTGTCCTTCCACCTTCATACGCACTACTCATGCTTCAGGATTAGTTTCAATCCGAGGATTTGCGCATTGACTAATACTCGTCATGCCCAATGGAATCGGTGTTGATTGATTCCTTGAAGTGTGAGGATTCATTGGGAGATGCTCAGTGACCAGGATATCCAACAAGGGCGTGAAACAGAGAACCGTGACTCAGAGTGCTCCGAGTCAGGGAGCGATCGATTCCCGAGGAGCCAGTGTTACCGTCACCTTTTTTACGAATGCCCAGGTGAACGAGTCCAAGTATGCAGCTTACTAGTATACTACTAGCTGTGCCCTCTTAAGGTTCAACTTCTTCAACTTCAATCAATCCGATCAACATTGAGGGTATATCAATAGTTACCTAGTAGGTACCTATTAGTACTTTAATCAACTCAAACGCCTAGCCGAAACTGCCAGGAGCTCTACCTCCCTCTAGGCAAGGGCAAAAAAGGTAAACGCCAACTAAACCAAAGAAAAACTTGAAATTAGGAACAGACCAGCACTCCCGAATTAACCTTGAAACTTAATTCAATTCCCCTTTCCAGATCATGATTTCATTCCTGTCGTAACATTCCGTCATAAACTAGTGCCAAGTACCTCCGAGGTGAGCAAGGTAACAGGCCATTCGTTTACGGTAACAAATAGCAAGAGAAGAAAAAGCAGAGAGCAAGGAGAAAATAGTAAAGAGCAAAATAGTTCAAGTTCAAGTCCTTGGAACCAGAACCTGGCCCTGGCCCTGGCCTTGGGCCTAGCTTAGCTTAGCGGAACCCGCCGCTGGGAAAGAATCGTGGTCCAGCGTACCCGTGCGCTATGATACTTTGGATATCGATGTTGTCGGCGTTGCGTGGACTCCAGAGTTTGATTAGGATGAAGCGGCCGGACCTACGTATTGATACAGAACAGGTTAGTTAGATGTTCTGCCATGCCTTTCGCTGGGAGGGGACTGGACGAATCACATACGGAGGAGGATCAAACTTGATGCTAACCATACTCTTCTCCCTCTCGATAAAGAATCGCGCATGAGGCTTCATTACTTCGGCCCCGCCTGCCCCGCTAGGCCCAGGCCCAGATCCCGATGCAGATCCAGATCCAACGGGCGGGGGCGGGATCGGGTCGATGAGGCTAGGTTGGCCTTGGCGTCGCGGTTCGGACCCGGACCAGCCTCGTCGCATGAAGCCGGCGCGGCGCGATAGTTCGCGGAGGCGGCGGTTGTTATCGGTCAGGCCGGTTCTCTCTTCTTCCTCTTCTTCGTCGTCGTCTTCACTGACGCTCTCGTCGGTGTCGGAGCAGAGGGGGTCTTCTTCATTTTCCAGTCGTTGTAGTTCGGCGATGTCCTCGTTGGAGTCATCTTGGTCGTGGAAGACGCTGTCTTCGGAGTTCTCGTGGTAGTCTGTTGTTATGCGAAACTCGGAATGTGGGATTGAGGTTTGAGGTTCTGGTGTTTCGTTGTTTGAGGTGGGAGAGCATTAGGCCCCGTTAGGACGGTGCGTTCTAGAGATTGCAAGGGTGTGCGGAACGAATTGAGGTACTCTTGGGAGGGCAAGGCACGCATTCGTCGGCGGCGTTGGCGGCGGTGGACGCTTGAATATTGGATTTGGTATTGGGCAGTGCGGGCGAGTAGTTCGTCCGATGTCATCGAGACGAAAACCATGCCTTCTTGGATACTAGATGGTGTCAGCGGTGAAGTCATCATAGGGCGGGTATCCGTGCTCTGCGAAAACATACGGGGAATCATATCCATTTCGAGGAGCTTTAATGACAAGCTTCTTCAGGCAGAAGGGAGCCTCGCCTTGATGTCGTAGAACCAGGTTGCAGCGGTCGGACTTGGTACAGTAGACCGAACTGTCGTTCCGGAGAATATTCTCCGGGAATGAACAGTCGCCGTCCGGGTCATAAATGCCCCCATCACAACTGGCAAGTTCCATCTTCAGTGCCCCGGGAACTACTTGGCCATACTGTCCGTAGTTAAAGCCCCTCATTCCCTCACGGTTGTCGTCGGTGTCCAACTTTCGTCGCTTCAACCTCGCCCGGCCATCACGGCCATCACGGTTTGTGTGCGCGGGCTGCGGCATGAGGGACGGTGTAGGAACTGGTGCTGTGAGATTGCTCGGATCAATCCCTCTGAAATCAGACCTGAACGAGCGGCGTCTAATCAGTCTGTTCGTTGAGCGGGGTTCCTGGGTTAACGAAGCGGGACTCAAAGTTGACGGTGGTCGCTCGGGGCGGAGTCGATCCAAAATTCCTCTACCGGGCGTATGTCTGCGAGAAGGGCTTGTCACGTCTGATGTTAACTGCTGAAGCTGTTGCTGGACTGTGGCCCGGGATTGTTCGGCGTGGGTGAGTTGGCGGACTGTATCGAGCCGATGTTCTTCAATCTCCTGATTCAGTGTTTGCAATGCACGATCGGTATCGCCAGGATTCGAGTTGTTACTCTCTGAGTGTATCAAATTTCGGAGGTAGAGCAGACTATCTCGTGAAGGCCGGGGTGGTGGAGTGGAATGACTTTCGCGCGGGGTCTCTAAACCCTCATGTATGCTCTGGGCAATAAGATCGGGAGCGAGATCATCGAGAATCTGATGCAGACTAGTTCGGAAGACACCATGCGAGTTGTTCTGGTCCGAGTCTAGTTCTGGTTCGTCGTTACGCTCACTGAGAGCGTCGATGATTCGTTGGACACGTTGAGGGAGGGATTCGGGGATAGGCGGTTCGGGACCACTGGGGCGAGATGAGCGGCGAGAAGAGGCAGGTGGGTAGTCGTAATTCCCTGACTATTCAACGATGAGCCACTGGCTGCTCGGGGCATATGGAGCGTTGGGCCGAGTATCGGTGGAAACATACCATCCTGGAGGTTGACTGGGCGGGGGACAGCGTGGACGGGGGAATAAGAAATAAGACCTGAGGCTAATCTCAGGTGTATTTCACTCTAATTTCAAGAAGGCATGGAATCAAATAGAAGGCAGCAGCCCATACGGGCCAGCAGGGAAATTCAAGGATTCAAGTTGGTGGCAGTTGAGAAGATGCGGTGCTTGCCTGCTGTTTAGTTATCGGGGGTGCACGTGATGACATTATATCATCGTGGGGAGAGCTTGAGCTTCTTTCCTTCTTCAATTCACCTTTCACCCCCTTCACTCGCTCATTTACCAACTCACAATGGCTGAAACGGAGAACGGACAGCAGATAAGTGCTGGTATGTGCCAATGTACTTACTTTTTACAATCCATCCTCTGACTCTGCTAGACGAGATCGCGCTCTATGATCGACAGATTCGCCTGTGGGGTGTCCAGGCACAGGAAAAGTAACCCTCCCTTTTCCATACAGTGACAACTGGGGGTGAGACTAATACGAGGAACAAAGGATCCGATCGGCAAATATTCTCCTGATTACTGTGAAAGCCCTAGCCAACGAAGTAGCCAAGAACCTCGTCCTTGCTGGCATCGGCTCTCTGACCATTCTCGACCATGAACCTGTCACGGAAACAGATCTGGATGCGCAATTCTTCCTGGAGGAAGCGCATAAGGACCCGAGAATTCTAGCAGAGGGGAAAAAAGTGCGGCTCTTTTATTGAATACATCAGTTCGCTCGTTACCCTATACTAATTACATTCCAGCGAGCCGAGATCGCCGGTCCTCAAATCCACCGCATGAATCCCCGCGTGAAGCTGCACATCGATACCGATGACGTTCGAACAAAACAACCCGATTTCTTCGCCCAGTTTGATGTGACAATTGCGACAGAGCTAGACTTTGCAACCAACAACAATATCAACGCCGCTTGCCGTCTGGCCAATCGCCCTTTCTACGCAGCAGGTCTACATGGGTTCTACGGCTACGTTTTTGCCGACTTAATCTCTCACGATTTCGTCATCGAGCGCGCCAAATCGAATGTTCCTTCACAACAGCAGGAAACGCCGACTCGGAGTATTGTCAAGGTCACCACCAAGAAAGAAGGTGACAAGACTATCGAACTCGTCACCAAGCGCGAGACTTACTCTCCACTCCTCCTCGCCAACACATCCCCTCTACCGGATGATTTTACCCGCCTACCTCGCCGTCGCAAGCAAGTCACCCCTCTGCTCAGCTGTCTCCGCGCTCTGTGGGAATTCGAGAAGCTCTCCGGCGGCCGTCGCCCAACATTCCAGCACGCAGACCTAGAGTTATTCACAAAGCTCTCTCGAGAAGTCCACCAGGAACTCAAATTAGATCTGAACACGCTAGACTCGACCTTCCTCCGCGCATTCCTCCAGAATCTGGGCTGCGAGTTGAGTCCCGTGGCTGCGTTCCTGGGCGGCTCGCTCGCGCAGGATGTAATCAATGTTCTGTCGGCGAGAGAACAGCCACTTCAGAATATGCTGCTCTTTGACGGAGAGAAATCCCAGGGCCCCATTTACCCGCTTCATCCTTTCTTCCCTGCAGAGTTGGGAATGCAGTCGCTTGCTGCTGTGCCGCCAGTGAGCAACGCTGTTCCTGTGGATCCTGCGCCACCAACGACCATTTCATAGGAGTATCACTTTGTATGGGTGTTATGTGGTATCTAGAAATGACTTAGACGAATTTCATTATGTTAGGCTTCTCATAGACAGGAGGAAGTCTTATGCTTGTACGATAGTAAGAATGCATTTCGGTAAAGAGGCTACAACTACGGTTCGTTCACGGATAGTTAGGAAGTAATAGGCTATGGGATGCCTTAGGTATTGGAGAATGTGGGAGACCATGTTGGATGATGCGTTGCCTCCAATACTAATATGTATGGCATTCAGAGCAAAGCTTTGGAAGAAACCGGCGGGGAATATCATGATCGCTCGGTCCCATGTCCCCATACGAAGAAAAAAAGTAGACTCTGATGTAGAGTAAGAAAATTCAAAGTCGAATTTGCAAAGGGTGGATTTTATGGCACTCAGTGCCGTGATGATGTCCTCTTTGTTGGGCCATCCTCCTTTTCCATCAGATGCCGAAACGAGATGAAGATCTTCTTAGGAACATCATCTCCTTGAGGAGGTTCCCGATGTTCCTAGTTTCGGTTTGAATTATACAGTTGATAGTTAGGCCACGAACTTGGCGGAAGTGGTTCGGCCCGCTCAGGAGTGTATTGCTTAAAAGCCTCTGAATAGGCTCATGAAAATCAGTATACATACTGGAGCTTTTTAAACCTGGCGCTTCCCAATAGTGCGGTCCGTATTTGAAAGGTATGGATGATCTTGTCCGTACGATAGCTAGCGGAGGCACGCAGGGATCGGATCGTGCTCGGCAGGAAAGGAATGATCTTGTCCGTGAGATGACCAGTGTAGGTATTCGGGGTTTGGAAAATCGCGAATAAGACGGAGGCCCTCTCGAGGTTGCTGAGGGTGGAAGGAAGGATGTTCAAAATGATGAGCAAAGCTGAGCCCATCTTGCCCATCTTGCCCATGAGCTAGTTGAAGATCCTAAGCAAGTATTGGGACATTGCAAGCTACTTTGAAGCCTTTGGCCTGGTGTGTGAGCTCAGGACGGTCATTAATGGTGCGAGTTAGCTGCAGAAGGCGTTAGAGGGGTGGTTGGCGCCAGCCAAACCCAATATCTCGATACAGCAATGGCTCTACAATTGCATGAAGATTCCGTGACGATTTGGTAAGAGCAATTTGCTCCTCTTGATAGAGGTAACTAAATATCATCTCCTGTACTTCGGAAAGGAGCTGTAGGAAAGGAGCGCAGAAGGAAATAAGCGTACGTGAGTAGACGATATGGTACCTACCTGGATAGAATTCACAACATAATGCAGTTCGTCTCCAGTACTTTAATTTTATAGGCTTGGGACCATGATGTTTCAGATCGTACTTTCGCTTTTCTGTGGCCACAAGATATATAAGGTTTCCTGGTCTTTTATAGAGTGTCTCATGGCTTGTTAGGCAATCAAATTCCAAGGCTGGTGAGGAATCCATAGATGCCATGGATATCTCTTTCATGAATGGATGACGTATGTTTTCTGCATGTCTGCCACCGGACCGTGACAAAGTGAACATGGACATGGACATGACAGCGAATCAGAACACATCGCAATTTCTCAAGGGCAAGGGATTACGATGTAGCACTAAAGGTACTTACCAGAACAGCATATTTCAATGCTGAGCGGCCGTTGAACTGACAGCAAATTACTCATTTAGGGCGAGAGGGTAATGGGAAAGTCATGTATTAATTGTTGGAAAGCTGAACGGGTAAAAACAGAAATCCTGACATTCTGAAGGTATTCTTAATCCAATATTTAATGGCCGCTAGCTAGAATTCCAATATTTATGCAGCAAGACCTTGAGGATACAAGATACGCCAAGCAGCAAAAATCGAGCTAATTCGGAGCATGAAAGTGTAAAAAGACAATGCTCACGTCCAGATTTGAACTGAAGACCTCGGCATTACTAGTGCCGCGCTCTACCAACTGAGCTACGCGAGCTTGTTGATGAAGAGTCTTGAAGTTTTTGCCATCATGATTGGAAGGCAGATTTTGAGAGTAAAATGGAAGCAAAAGCAACCATTGCAAACCCTCTTCCAGGCAAGCATGGCCAACCCTGGAAGAGCGAACAACCAAACCAAGGTTTACCCTTATCTCCCAGTAAGCTACTTCTATAGTCAGACAGTTTCAATTAGCATAGCTTGTTTTATTTGGGGGAAAAAATTCGAGTAAGAAGAAAAATTTGCTTAAAGAAAAGGAAAAAGAAGTTGTGATTCATGAACCTTAGCGTAAGTGCCATGTTCAATTGATCAAGTAAGCTGGGTGGCAGCACTTCCCATAGGGCAAGCGGTATATCATGGCTTTATGGCGGCTCCAATCGATATCTATACCAAGAGCAAAAGCAAAAGCAAGAACAAAAGCAAGAACAAAAAGAGAATGCCCCCATCCAGGATCGAACTGGAGACCTCGGGATTGCAATTCTGTTACCAGAATCGTCATATGACAAGATATGAGACCCACGTCATAGCCAACTAGACCATAGAGGCAATTCATGGAATGAAGAGCTAATATAGCGCACTAGAGGCCTGAACTTATCATCCTTACGAACTATGTCAAGATTCTGACCATGGTTCTTCTTCATGCGGTTGTATGCCCTAATTTGATAACTACAGTATGGAAGTAATTGATATTGTGCTAGTTCTTCCCAATATAAGATTAAGCCCTCCAGGCCTTGTGTATTTAGTGTGATTTATTCTGAATAAATTATGCTCTGATCAGGCTGTGATATATATTATTAGAGGTAAGGTATCCGATTGGAATCTACTAGCTAGGTAAGCTTAGTTCGAAGATCATGAACAAAAACTTTGCGAGAATGATGCTGTCATCCACTGGCATAGATTTCAATTATCTTCCACTGACTAAAAAATGAGCATTAGTACCTAGGTATAAAATGCCAAAGATGCTCGTTTAAGGTTTTCGCTATGGCTGGATGTGAAGAATATAGTAGCAACTTGAACACATTCCACACCCGACCCGCCCAGTCGGATAAAAACCTTCAAGTTTACGTCTTTCCCGACTCGCCGAAAAAATATCGTCTGTGGCAATTATTGTCAGAGAATCATCGGTACATAATTGTAATCTATTATTGAAAACTACGCGATCTAAATTGCCTTATGTTCTAGAGAAATTTCCATTGGAACGCTGAAAACAATTACTAGTACAACTTGAATTCCACCTAAGTATACCGAAAAAAATAATATTCGCCGAGGGATTGGTACTCTAGCCTCAAGCATAGAAGAAACTGTCATCCGAATATTGAAAATAGCAGAATTTTTAGAACCCGTTCTTTTTTTTGACAGTCTATCCCAAGAATGAAGCCGAATGCTTCTAAATATGCGACAGAAAGAAAGATTCGTAAGATC